TCCAGTGCCCATCATAGGCTGTTCGTAACTGTGTATGTTGGCAACCCACAGCCTGGAAAACCCCAGGATGCCCATCATAGGCTGCTCGTAACCGTGTATGGTGGCAACCTATAGCCTGGAAACCCCAGGATGCCCATCATAGGCTGTTCGTAACCGTGTATGGTGGCAACCTATAGCCTGGAAAACCCCAGGAATGCCCATCATAGGCTGTTCGTAACCCTGTATGTTGGCAACCTATAGCCTGGAAAACCCCAGGATGCCCATCATATGCTGTTCGTAACCGTGTATGTTGGCAACCTACAGCCTGGAAAACCCCAGGATGCCTATCATAGGCTGTTCTTATCTGTTCTTAACCGTGTATGTTGGCAACCTTCAGCCTGGAAAACCCCAGGAATGCCCATCATAGGCTGTTCGCAACTGCGTATGTTGGCAACCTACAGCCTGAAAAAAAACCAGGAATGACCATGATAGGCTGTTCGTAACCGTGTATGTTGGCAACCTACAGCCTGCAAAAATCCCAGGATGCCTATCATATGCTGTTCTTAACCGTGTATGTTGGCAACCTACAGCCATCTACAGCCTGGAAACCCCCAGGATGCCCATCATAGGCTGTTTGTAGCCGTGTATGTTGGCAACCTACAGCCTGGAAAACCCCGGGGTGCGCATCATAGGCTGTTCGTAACCGTGTATGTTGGCAACCCACAGCCTGGAAACCTCCAGGATGCCCATCACAGGCTGTTCGTAACCGTGTATGTTGGCAACCTACAGCCTGGAAAACCCCGGAGGGCCCATCATAGGCTGTTCGTAACCGTGTATGTTGGCAACCCACAGCCTGGAAACCCCCAGGATGCCCATCACAGGCTGTTCGTAACCGTGTATGTTGGCAACCTACAGCCTGGAAAACCCCGGGGTGCCCATCATAGGCTGTTCGTAACCGTGTATGTTGGCAACCTACAGCCATCTACAGCCTGGAAACCCCCAGGATGCCCATCATATGCTGTTCGTAACCGTGTATGTTGGCAACCTACAGCCTGGAAAACCCCAGGATGCCCATCATATGCTGTTCGTAACCGTGTATGTTGGCAACCTACAGCCTGGGAAAACCCCAGGATGCCCATCATATGCTGTTCGTAACCGTGTATGTTGGCAACCTACAGCCTGGGAAAACCCCAGGATGCTTATCATATGCTGTTCGTAACCGTGTATGTTGGCAACCTACAGCCTGGAAACCCCTTAGATGTCAATTGTATGGCTTTCATAGCCGTGTTCGTTGGCAACCTACACGTACAGCCTGGGAAGCCGCCTGGGAAGCAGCCAAAATGCCCAGCGTATGATGTTGGCAACCCACAGCCGGGGAAGCCCCAAGATGCCCACCAGATCCAAGAGCTTTGCTCGAAAATCCAAATTCAACAACTCGGATGTCGCAATGATGTTAATCTGGTTGTAGTTATGTAGTGTGCCTACGTGGGTGGACTGTTTTAGTGCAACAACTTTTTGATTGTGAGTATGATGTTTGGACGTATTGCTCCAAGAGTTTGGAAGTGGCACATCGGAGCTATTGAAAGCGTTCACTGCGTCCACTCTCCAAGTTGAAATGTCCTGCACCAGAACAAATTGGGTTTGGTTTTTGAAGTTGTGCCTGGGAAAGCAAGAGGCCTCTGCTCCAGTTCTCTGATATATTATTGGGAGGCTCTGCCCGACAATACAATTTGTAAGTGACATGCCGAACATATCGACAAGTTCTACTGCAACAAGTTCGGTGGTGTGGTCCCCTACAATAATTCCGGCATGATGGCATGATGTGTCTATAGTCTGCAAGTGCTCCACTCGAACAATCAATGCGGACATGGCGTGTCCAAGACAGAGTTGAATGATTTGAAGGTCCTACATGAGCGGATGGTGCTAGTGGGGCGTTCTCCGTATATACTTGGATCAGGTGGCTTTCAGTTAGTGGAGTGCAAGGTGCTAACCTCCAAATATCTTCAAATAAAATCGACGTTGCAAAGCAACGATGCTTTACCTTATTTTTTGGAAGATTCTACCCAGACAATCTCGACTCTGTGACTTGAAATTCACATTCTCTCTATCCTAGTAATTTGGATGTGGTCTGACTAATTGTTGGCAGGTCGCAAGCGTATATATACACATACAATAGCAGGGGCAATTTCCATGTTGCGCGTCTATACTAAAAGTATGTTTGGAGGCTTCAACTCAACGTGGATCAACGTGGCATGTCAAATTGAAGGCTTGCTCCAAATAAATTGTTGCTGAAGATTTAAGAAGTTCTACTGCAACTCTTTGGACATGGTGTGCCTGCAAATATGCGGGAAACGCGGGAAACAGGTCCAGAAAGAGTGGGTGGTGTGCGCTTGAAAGCATTGACTTTATTTTGCATTTGAGTACGGTATAGCTTGACAGCTTCAAAACTGACAACGACTGTACATAGTGTGGGCGGTGGACTTGCATCTAGCTTATCTCCTCGTTGCTAAATAATGAATCACAGGAACACCTTTCACAATCATGCTGCTATATGTTACTTAACATTGGTGTCCTGAATAGCTTGGTGACTTGACGCTATGACATGCCACTGCAGTCATTCAAGTCAAGTCACCAGCTCCATCTGCAAGCGCAACACCTCCTGTGTATGACTCTGGCTTCAGCTCTGCTTCAAATGATATGCTATGCTAATTTGATTCTCAGTCGTCCTTGCGTTTGCTGACATGCCAATCTATGGCTCATTGCCATCCCGTTGCATTACGGGCCAGCCACGGCTTTGGACAATGGCAAACAAGGACCTCATGTCGGCAAAAATGGCTCCTGCTGCTGGTTCTTTGCCTGCATCTGGAAGTAAGTTGCTTCAGATTGCGCCTCGATCCTTAGCAGATTTAGCATGCTTTAGCCACTTTACCCCCCGGATGGCGTGCCCTGTACATGCATACAGAAATGCAAAGAATGGGTGCTGCTTGCCTCAGCAAGTTTGCGATGCAATATTGTTTCATCACGTTTCGTCCACAATACCTCCACATCACAGATCCTCTTCAGATTGCAACCGAGGCTCAATCCAGGGTTCACCTCTTTAGGTTTCTGCGTGCCTTGTCACAAGACACAATATACACCATGGATTAAAAGGCCTTGGAGGACTCCTCCCAGCTCAGTACCTTCGCCACCCTTTGCCAGCACTAAGCCCAATATCTTCAACGTACCTATGTATACCTCTTCACAAGCATCTTCAGCCCCTCAGTCAAGCATCAATCAAGCTGCAGGCACTAATGTCCAAAAGTCTTCATCTTTTGTGCCAGCTAAACTCGGACCATGTGAATTGTAGTTGGTGGGAAAAGCGAACCTTTGGATCCAACCAAATGGAATCTTGAGGACCCAAGACTAACTGTACCTTGCCCTAAAAGTTCACCTCTGCACCACTGCGAAACCTCAATCCCGACCCACGGTTCAAACTTGAAAATCTTGGGAACTTTTAGAACCCCTTCCTCGGAGCTCTTTGTAGAGATGCGGGCGTGTTTCTAGCAAAAAGAACATCAACATGTTTAATTTGGCCGCAGCATCCTGGCAATCTTAAACAGCTACAAGAATGAAGGCTTCCACCGCGCCTTGCATAACAATCGTAACGTTTCAGTTGCACTTGCTATATCATTGGTAAATGCACGCCCACACACCTCATTTCTCCCAACATCACTTTTGGGTTTTCGAGGTCTCAAGTTTTGTGAATTTTGAAGTAGGTTTTTAGAGTTTGGGTAATTATTTAGGTGGTAGAGTCCGCCCTTGATCTTTCCAGGCCTTTGAAGGTTTAGGGCTTGGGGCTTAGGGTTTTGGAGTTTTGGGGTTTTAGATTTTATATGATTTTATATCGTTTCATGTTGTCAGGGTTCAAAATGAGTCGCGCAATGACGCCCTGGTCCCCTACAGTAGGTACAGTATGGTACAGTATATGAGCTTTTTACGCATGCTTAGTATATACTTGCACATTTGGATGAAGTCCTTGGGTGTCGGGCCAAGCAGCCCGCAAAATCTTACAAGAAGTCCCCGTTGTCCCACTTTGCATCTCCAACTCCAAGGGTTTTCTATGGTTTTCTGTTGTGTTCGTGCCCAATGTATGTGTGCCTGGCACGAAGAGGCACCGGCACCTGATAAAGAAAAGAATAACTCCTTGGCTGGCCCTTTGGTGCCTTTGGAATGTGAGTGAAGAGAAAGAACCAACTGAGAGGCCCAAATTCTCCAAGGTTGCATTTACCCCCAACATACATCTCGCTTGTCCCAGAATGTCCCAGATGTATCTGGGATTTTCTGAGATATCAAATATCATCGACTGGATGGGGCTTCAGCTTGCTAGGGCCGCTGGGGTCGTACCCCAAAACCTCAAATCTTTACAGAGTTTTCAACACCCAGAACCTTCCAGAACCTGGTGCCACGCAGTGGTGGGTCAAGCGGGTGTCTTTAATCAGAGACCGGGACTCTGCAACAATAAAATTGGAATTTTGTGAAAATGAAACACGCCCGCCTTCATTTTAGAATCTGGCCAAAAAGCTCAGCACGGTTGCAGAGAGTTCAAAACTGTTTGAACAGAAGCAGCCGGGAATACCTCCAGTCTGTGGAATGTGGTATGTTGCCTTTTCTGGTTCCGCTTTCAAAGCGCACACCTTTTTGTTGACCGATTACACCATTCGGGTGGGCCATACATATTGGTTCACCTCAAATGCCTGCAGAAACATCAGAAAACGTATCTTTCATCTCTTCATACTCCTAGTTATCGTTTTTGGGGCGTGATATCATGCAAAACATGACATGAAACGTGCACAATATCATGTTGCAGCTTTTGAGGTTTCACTGTAGCGTTTCACATACTGAATCGCACGCGAGGCTCCTGCGAAAAGGACCACTATGGACCACTTAAAACTGGAGTTTTGCCTTTTGCTCTCATGCGGCGTTCAGATCTTTATATGACATGGCTACTAATTAGATGCTACTAGCGAGTAGCAGCTGTGCGGCTAGTTTGTCTCTCTTCTTGCCAGGTTGCCAAGCAACCTCTGAATCTTTTGGCGAAGCGACACACGCTCCCGCTCTGCCTAGTCACCCAAAGTCTGCACGCACGCAGTGATGCAAACACTGAAGCATCTTCAAAAATCTTCGACAACAGGAGCTTGTGAATTGATGTTCGGAATCCAGACTGCTACTGCTAGGCAAACAACTGATTCAAGGGCAGTTCGAGACTGCAAATCAAACAGTTCATCAAATACCAAATGTTTGTACTCAAGCACCTCCTGTCACTACTTAGAGCTCTGCTAAAATCAGCTATCTACCTCGTTCGAACAAATTTCACAGGCGCCTCATCCCAGGCTGGAATCGCATGTTGCACTGAGACGATGACTTCCCGCAGATTCAGATTCGGAAGTAACAACCTGTGTTGCGCGCAAGGCCTGAAGAAAATTGAAAAGGATTGCCTGGAGACCCGTCATGGCCAACGGCAACACTCTACTGAAAGAAAGTTGATGACACTTCCGAGTAGCATTGGAATGGCGGGCTCCAAAAAGTTTGGACAACTGCATACACCGGTCGGCCATTCAACACCAAACTCATTGTCATTCATGGTTATAACATGTTATGACTCATATTCTGACAGTATAAACAAATCTCACAAAACATGAGCAAAACCTGAGCAAATGGTGTTCCAATGTGTTCCTCCATCCCATGGATTCCCGCGGATGTCGGCAATCGACACACTCAAAGGTTCCCCGGTGATGGGAGATGTGATGTCTGAGTTGGATCGCTCATGCGACCGGAACCAATCCAGGACACACTGGCGACAGTAAGAATAGCCTCGCAACCCGGACCGTCATGGACCGTCCATACCATTGCCCGGAACAAAACGAACATGTGCAATCATGTGCAACACATTGCAACAGCGGAATGGAAATTTTGGCGCGTTTTTTCTCTGGCTGAATGCAAAAAATCAAAACGGTTGCTGATTTCCTGCTGGTTCTTGCAATTTGGCCAACAACAAATCATCCACTTCAATTGGCCAATGAGACACTTCAGTTCAGGCATGCTGCAAGGTTTTGTTTTATGCTGGAATTTGTCTGCTTTGGTTGGAGAAAGAAAACAAAAGTGGAAATGATAAATTCAATGCTGCGCGTGAACCACACTGCGTTAATGTTTATCGCATAAAGAAATGAATGGGCGACGCTGTGAAATAGCAACCAACCAATGAAAACTAATCAGCTCAAGCACCATCTCCTGCTGCTACAGCTGCTTTCAATTCTTGCTTACATAGGGCACCTCACTCATGTCCCAATGCGGACCCAGAACTTGCACATGCCTGGTCAAAACCAACACTCAATTTTGAGGGAGAATATGGTATGTTCAACACTGTTCCATGGTCAGGGTGATTAGACCGATTCTGATTCGCAACCGCCGAAAATTCAAGAACATTCAACAACCATCAGTTGGGTCGGTTATTTCCGAACACCGTCGCGAATAAGTATATGTGCATATGAATTCGATTGTGTTTCGGGTTCCGATGCTAAGAACGCCAAAGTAATTGAAACGGCCGTGCCCCGGCATGTGCCAACACCAATTTGTTCCATGTTCATGTGCAATATGTAGCCAGAAAACTGTTTCTAAGGACAAAACGGCAACCTGGACAAGGCACAAATAATCCCTTCTATCTTTGGCACCGGTCTCAGTCTCTCTTTTTGCGGCGACCCATCTTCTTGATATACACCCCGTCCTTCCACATCCTTGCGCTTGCGCGTGGCATGCAAGATCATGCAAGTAGGAAGCTGCATGCATTGCATTACATTACATTCCCTTCCATTCCATTACATTAGATTACATTACGTTACAGTACATTTATATACATTGCATATGCTGTTTCACACTTTAGACTGCGCTACATTACAATACAATACATTGCATGCATGCATACATACATACATACATACATGTTCTAGGGAGAGAGATGGTGTGTGTGTGTGTGTGTGCGTTTGTTTATATATATATATATATATTCATTCTTGTGTGTGTGCGCGTTTGTGTTACAAATTGTGTGTACCTGTGCCAGAAGCAATATATGCGCATACAATGATACATGATCAGACATGTGCAGTATCGCTTTGCCCAGTAAAACGCACAAAATGCAAATCTCGTACATAAAACATGCAATGAAAAGACTAGGCTCCATATAAGCATTGACATGCACGGAAATATCAATGGCCATTTCAGGAACCGAAATTGGAGGTACCTACCATATATATATATATATGTACGATGGACCTTTATGTACTATTTGAACGTTTGCATGTCGAAAGGATTTTATTGAAATTATACCTCTTTCTGGAGAATCCCTACTAGTTAATCTATATACCAAAAAGAAAGAAATGGAATTCAAAAAATTCAAAAAAAAAATGAATACATATTTTTTTTGAATTTTTTGAATTTTTTGAATTCCATTTCTTTCTTTTTGGGACTTTCATTTTTTTTTTGAATTTTTTGAATTTTTTGAATTCAAAAAATTCAAAAAAATCAAAAAAAAAGTGAATACATAATTTTTTTTGAATTTTTTGAATTCAAAAAATTCAAAAAATTCAAAAAAAAAGTGAATACATATTTTTTTTGAATTTTTTGAATTCAAAAAATTCAAAAAATTCAAAAAATTAAAAAAAAAATGAAAGTCCCAAAAAGAAAGAAATGGAATTCAAAAAATTCAAAAAATTCAAAAAAAATTATGTATTCATTTTTTTTTGAATTTTTTGAATTCCATTTCTTTCTTTTTGGGACTTTCATTTTTTTTTTGAATTTTTTGAATTTTTTGAATTCAAAAAATTCAAAAAATTCAAAAAAAAAAGTGAATACATATTTTTTTTTGATTTTTTTGAATTCAAAAAATTCAAAAAAAAATGAATACATATTTTTTTTTGAATTTTTTGAATTTTTTGAATTCCATTTCTTTCTTTTTGGGACTTTCATTTTTTTTTTTGAATTTTTTGAATTCAAAAAATTCAAAAAAAATGAATACATAATTTTTTTTGAATTTTTTGAATTTTTTGAATTCCATTTCTTTCTTTTTGGGACTTTGTCCCAAAAAGAAAGAAATGGAATTCAAAAAATTCAAAAAATTCAAAAAAAAAATGAATACATATTTTTTTTTGATTTTTTTGAATTTTTTGAATTCCATTTCTTTCTTTTTGGGACTTTCATTTTTTTTTGAATTTTTTGAATTTATTCAAAAAATTCAAAAAAAAAGTGAATACATATTTTTTTTGATAGAGAAATAAGGAGACAAGTTGGGAACAGACAAGGAGACAAGTATGGAAACCAATGGGAGGCAAGAAGAATCCTTCGCCATCGAGCAACCACGAAGAGTCACGAAGAGTATCCTGTGCCCAGAAGCACCCAGGAAGAAGAACAGTAACAGGGAGGGACAAAAAGAAATGAAGAGAGGAGACTGCAATTATGGCCCCAAAGCACCTGAAGGTCCTAGGCCTAGACCACACAGTAAGTAGGAAAAAACTGGCTGAATAAGGACACAGATGAGAACACATGGGAGACAAGGGGAATCTTGGGTCCCAAAAGCGAGAACAACAGGAATGAGGAGAGAAGTGAAGAAAGCGCTGGGAAAGACTACAGGGACAAGGAAGGAAAGAAAGGAAAGAGGAGAAAAACTATCCTCTCCCTCCCAAATGCCGGAGACCTGGAAAGAAGCGCGGTAGTGGAGAGAGAATAAGGAGACAAGTTGGAGAAAGGTAGGAAGGTAAGTAGGGTAACATGTGGTAGAGACCGAGGGTAAGGGAATGTGACCTGAACAAAGGAAGAAAAGTTAAGGAGAAACACAAGAGGCCAGGAAATCCATTCTTCTCCAAGCAGCAGCAGCAGCAATGAGGAGGGAATTAAGGATACACGTTGGAGGGAACAAGAAAGGGCAAATGAGGAACCGGAGAGAATCATGTGTCCAAATAAGCACCTAGAGAGAAGAACAGCAAGAGAGAGAGAGAGAGAAGTAAGGGCATGAGTTGGAGAGAACAAGGGGGACAAGCACGGAGACAGACAGAGGACTAGGAGCATACTGTGCCCCGGAAGCACCCAGAGAGAACAGCCACATATGAGAGTGAAGTAGAGAGACGAGTACGAAAACAGATGGGACTTGAGTCCTGTCCCCAAAGCCACCAGAACGAAGAACACTGAGCAATGGAGAGAGAAGTGAGGAACGGGAGACAAGCAGATTCCTTTGACCGAAAGCACCCAGAGAGAAGAATCGCAATGGAGATAGAGAAGTAAGGAGACAAGTTGGGAACAGACAAGGAGACAAGTATGGAAACAAATGGGAGGCAAGAAGAATCCTTTGCCATCGAGCACCACGAAGAGTATCCTGTGCCCAGAAGCACCCAGGAAGAAGAACAGTAACAGGGAGGGACAAAAAGAAATGAAGAGGTCCTAAAGCCTAGACAAAACAGCAAGTAGGAAAAAATTGGCTGAAGAAGGACACAGATGGGAACACATGGGAGACAAGGGGAATCTTGGGTCCCAAAAGCGAGAACAACAGGAATGAGGAGAGAAGTGAAGAAAGCGCTGGGAAAGACCACAGGGACAAGGAAGGAAAGAAAGGAAAGAGGAGAAAAACTATCCTCTCCCTCCCAAATGCCGGAGACCTGGAAAGAAGCACGGTAGTGGAGAGAGAATACGGAGACAAGTTGGAGACACGTAGGAAGGTAAGTAGGGTAACATGTGGTAGAGACCGAGGGTAAGGGAATGTGACCTGAACAAAGGAAGAAAAGTTAAGGAGAAACACAAGAGGCCAGGAAATCCGTTCTTTCCCAAGCAGCAGCAGCAATGAGGAGGGAATTAAGGATACACGTTGGAGGGAACAAGGGAGGACAAGGGAGGACAAGGGAGGACAAGTGAGGAACCAGAGAGAATCATGTGTCCAAATAAGCACCTAGAGAGAAGAACAGCAAGAGAGAGAGAGAGAGAGAAAGAGAGAGAGAGAGAAGTAAGGGCACGAGTTGGAGAGAACAAGGGGACAAGCACGGAGACAGACAGAGGACAAGGAGCATACTGTGCCCCGGAAGCACCCAGAGAGAACAGCCACATGTGAGAGTGAAGTAGAGAGACGAGTACGAAAACAGATGGGACTTGAGTCCTGTCCCAAAGCCACCAGAACGAAGAACACTGAGCAATGGAGAGAGAAGTGAGGAACGGGAGACAAGGGGAGACTCCTTTGACCGAAAGCACCCAGAGAGAAGAATCGCAATGGAGATAGAGAAATAAGGAGACAAGTTGGGAACAGACAAGGAGACAAGTATGGAAACAAATGGGAGGCAAGAAGAATCCTTTGCCATCGAGCACCACGAAGAGTATCCTGTGCCCAGAAGCACCCAGGAAGAAGAACAGTAACAGTGAGGGACAAAAAGAAATGAAGAGAGGAGACTGCAAGAAGGCGGTGACGGAAGGGACACGAATGAGGGACTCGGTAATGTTTATGGCCCCCAAAACCACCTGAAGGTCCTAAAGCCTAGACCACACAGCAAGTAGGAAAAAATTGGCTGAATAAGGACACAGATGGGAACACATGGGAGACAAGGGGAATCTTGGGTCCCAAAAGCGAGAACAACAGGAATGAGGAGAGAAGTGAAGAAAGCGCTGGGAAAGACCACAGGGACAAGGAAGGAAAGAAAGGAAAGAGGAGAAAAACTATCCTCTCCCTCCCAAATGCCGGAGACCTGGAAAGAAGCGCGGTAGTGGAGAGAGAATAAGGAGACAAGTTGGAGAAGTAGGAAGGTAAGTAGGGTAACATGTGGTAGAGACCGAGGGTAAGGGAATGTGACCTGAACAAAGGAAGAAAAGTTAAGGAGAAACACAAGAGGCCAGGAAATCCATTCTTCTCCAAGCAGCAGCAGCAATGAGGAGGGAATTAAGGATACACGTTGGAGGGAACAAGGGAGGACAAGGGAGGACAAGTGAGGAACCAGAGAGAATCATGTGTCCAAATAAGCACCTAGAGAGAAGAACAGCAAAAGAGAGAGAGAGAAAGAGAGAGAGAGAGAGAAGTAAGGGCACGAGTTGGAGAGAACAAGGGGGACAAGCACGGAGACAGACAGAGGACAAGGAGCATACTGTGCCCCGGAAGCACCCAGAGAGAACAGCCACATGTGAGAGTGAAGTAGAGAGACGAATACGAAAACAGATGGGACTTGAGTCCTGTCCCCAAAGCCACCAGAACGAAGAACACTGAGCAATGGAGAGAGAAGTGAGGAACGGGAGACAAGGAGATTCCTTTGACCGAAAGCACCCATAGAGAAGAATCGCAATGGGGATAGAGAAGTAAGGAGACAAGTTGGGAACAGACAAGGAGACAAGTATGGAAACAAATGGGAGGCAAGAAGAATCCTTTGCCATCGAGCACCACGAAGAGTATCCTGTGCCCAGAAGCACCCAGGAAGAAGAACAGTAACAGGGAGGGACAAAAAGAAATGAAGAGGTCCTAAAGCCTAGACAAAACAGCAAGTAGGAAAAAAATGGCTAAATAAGGACACAGATGGGAACACATGGGAGACAAGGGGAATCTTGGGTCCCAAAAGCGAGAACAACAGGAATGAGGAGAGAAGTGAAGAAAGCGCTGGGAAAGACTACAGGGACAAGGAAGGAAAGAAAGGAAAGAGGAGAAAAACTATCCTCTCCCTCCCAAATGCCGGAGACCTGGAAAGAAGCGCGGTAGTGGAGAGAGAATAAGGAGACAAGTTGGAGACAAGTAGGAAGGTAAGTAGGGTAACACGTGGTAGAGACTGAGGGTAAGGGAATGTGACCTGAACAAAGGAAAAAAGGCAGGGAGAAACACAAGAGGCCAGGAAATCCATTCTTCCCCCAGCAGCAGCAATGGGGAGGGGATTAAGGATACACGTTGGAGGGAACAAGAAAGGGCAAGTGAGGAACCGGAGAGAATCATGTGTCCAAATAAGCACCTAGAGAGAAGAACAGCAAGAGAGAGAGAGAGAGAAGTAAGGGCATGAGTTGGAGAGAACAAGGGGGACAAGCACATAGACAGACAGAGGACAAGGAGCATACTGTGCCCCGGAAGCACCCAGAGAGAACAGCCACATGTGAGAGTGAAGTAGAGAGACGAGTACGAAAACAGATGGGACTTGAGTTCTGTCCCAAAGCCACCAGAACGAAGAACACTGAGCAATGGAGAGAGAAGTGAGGAACGGGAGACAAGGGGAGATTCCTTTGACCGAAAGCACCCAGAGAGAAGAATCGCAATGGAGATAGAGAAATAAGGAGACAAGTTGGGAACAGACAAGGAGACAAGTATGGAAACAAATGGGATCAGAAAGGAGCACGGTCGCATTATACCAAAAGGTCCCTGCCACATATATATATATATATTATGTAGTGTATATATATATATAAACTATGTAGTGTGTATATATATATATATATTATGTAGAGTATATATATATAATGTAGTGTATATATATATTATGTAGTGTATATCCTGATCAACATGGCAAACAAACCGCTTAAACGGCCGTCCCTACCTTTCACCAGTCGGTTCAAACCCCTGTGTCCTTCCTTCGTAGTGGTTTGTTGATAGGATTTTCCATTACGGATTGACAACCCCAAGATATTGGATCTTTTTTTAACACCCGAACTAATCATGAAACAACAGGAGTTTTGAACATTGCTCAATTGAACAACTTGGAACGGAATTATTTTTTCCATTCCCAAATGCTCAATGGTGCTGGAATATTTAACTACATTTACCCCAAAAATGGCCCAAATGTAGGTAGATATTCCATACATGGAGCATCTGGGATTTATACACTATTTTCCCATCAAAACTTCCATTTCAAGGGGATTCCCCAGCCATGATTCGCCCAGCCAGAAACCAACCTGTGACGATGGGCGTTTTCTCCTTCTTCTCTCGATGAACGTGTTCGATGTCGATGCCCTGCTGGCGCGACTTGCCGTGACTTGCTACGGCGCGACTGGGTATTTCCCGGCTTCAGCGATGCATCATCTATTATCAATCTCCATATCTCAGAACAATTCAAAACATATGTATAGTATATGTAATTATATTAACATGCATATTTTTTTGTACATTAGGTTCTGTATATATATATGTATATCATAGATATTGAAAACTTATCGTATATATTCGTATATTATGTAATAAAAAACATAACATTGGCGTGGGACAGCACAGCCCAATCAGCATCGAAGAGGCGCCTTATGACATCCAGTCAGCTTGTAAGGTTGTGACCTCAAGAGGCAGAGGCTGCACGGCTGGTGGCACTTCTGGTGTGCTGACGTAAAGATTCCATGGGAAACTGGTGGGTGGTTGAGCCCTACCCCCCTGAAAAATATGAGTTCGTCAGTTGGGATTATGAAATTCCCAATATATAGAAAAAAAAAAGGTTCCAAACCACCCACCAGTAAACCTATTACTGGTTGGTGGTTGACTAACCATCTTGAAAAATGATGGGGTTGGGATGACATCCCATATAAAAAATGGAAAATAAAATTCATGTCTGAAACCACCAACCAGATTACCATGGAAATGATTCACTTACTATTCAGCACTATTCACTTACTATTCAGCAAATTACTATGTATAGATCTAGTAATGAATTATTCATATGGAAATTAGATCATAGACATATTATGAAATATTCATGGACGTGAAATCTATTTGATTGGTGATTCACGATGGTATCTAATATAATCCAATAGTACTTGAGAGTGATTTGTGTATCTCACTAATATACTACCAATTATTGATAGTACCCTCTGGTAAACTAACATAACTATGGAAAATAACAATCTTTAATTAATGGGTAAATCAACTATACATGTGCCATTTCCAATAGCTATGTTTACCAGAGGGTATATAGATTGAAAAAAACATCAGATACCCAATACTAGGGATGGAGGGTGAACCAGGTGAACCATGAAAACCTGGGGCGGAAGACGGTTTCTACACCCTGAAAATTCGCCGGTGTATTTCTATATATGAAATACCCCAATGACAAGGCCCCAAAAATAAATAGATGCAGTACTAAAGCAGGGTTCCTGTATTTTCCTCGGGAGAGTGACTTCATATTCATGAGTACAATTAGCCTCAAATACATTCTTAAACACAGGAAATTGTATGTCAGCTTCTTCTTAGAAATCTTAGAAACTCCAAGTTAACCAAGTTATTGTTCTTGGAAATCATAAACATCCTAGTTGAATCAAATATTGAACAGATGTATTTCCTGGGAAGAATGGCGCCAAACCATGCCAAAGCCTCCAAATGAATCCAAAATTCCATTACAAAGGGTGGTATGGTCTCCAAATTTGCGAATGTATATCTCTGTGGAATTATTGTATTTCCAGGAAAGAAATACGGGAAACTGTAGGCCTTTTGCACACTCAACTTTGTTGAGGCCCCCTGAAAAAAGCGTAAAACCCGATTCTGTTACAATTGGTGAGGATCATCCACATAATTCCAAGTATGGATTGAAAGTCACCGGTGTTTCAAATAAGTCACCATGCCTGCTGAGAAAGGCTACATGTCCACATCTACAATACCACCATGTACACTGGTGTTCTTTACCTTGGCAAACGCACATGAACATCACGTTATCATGTACGGGCACCTTGTCATCAAACTGTAGTGTTAGTAAAGCACTCGTAAACCCTCACCAAACCACACATGAGTGGTATAAACATGTATTAACCATCAAAATATGTTGTTGTTTTTTGTTTTATTCACATGTTCATCCATTTTCATCCATTTTAATCGCAGTTTTCCAAGTCTTCCTCTCATCCTGGCCATCGCTCAAGCAACATGGCTTGGAACCACTAAGCGGCTTAGTTCAAAAGATATATCCGTTATAAAGATAGGTTGCTGAAGTAAACTGCCAAATGCATGATCAATCAACGGTCATTTATCAATTACATCCCCATATCTATAGATATAGTTAAACTATGTTAAACCCTCATTAAACCATGAACCCCCATCATACGCTACAATTGATGGGTAAATCCCTTGAAATCCCACAATTTTAAGTTGGTTCACCTTGGTTTCCCGACAAATGCAAGCAGGGCAAAGCTTTGGCCCTACCGTGATATCCTTCAGCACAGTGTACCTCCACATAGAAATCCTCTCCTTGATCGCTGTCTGGGCAACTGCAGCTCTTTGTTGACGCCATACATGGATTCTTGGATACTTATCCCATGTATGCCGTTTATTTTACCCATAAGCCATACAGTATATAACCATTACAGTTTTTTTTACCCATACAAAACCCATCCAATAGCATGTATAGAACCATTGGTACAACCCATATCTGGTTGGTGGTATACCTACCCCTCTGAAAAATATGAGTTCGACAGTTGGGGGTACTATTCCCAATAGATGGAAACATAAAAAATGTTCCAAACCACCAACCACATATATATATATATTATGGGTTATTATATATAACTATGATAACCATCGTATAACCCAATATATGCTCCAGAACCTCCACCAAGTTTACCAAGTTTCGATGGAGCTGCTGCTCCTGAACCATGTAGCCCTGGAGCTTGGAAGACTAGTAACACCTCCAAAAAAAAAGGGTGGAACAAATATGGACACTTTATGGTGATTTTTATGCTGGTTTTATGGTGATTTTATGATGATTTATGGTGATTGTATGGTGATTTCATGGTGATTTTATGGTGACTTATGGTGATTTTATGGTGATTTATGGTGATTTTATGGTGATTCTATGGTGATTTAAAGGAGTTTAATTGGTGATGTAATGGGATTTCTAACCATAGGCTTTTTCTCTGGGTCTATGTGAATTGGAGGGATTGGGCGAAGTACAGAGTCAACCTGATTTCAGCAATGAACGATGGATATGGCTGTGTCCGAGGGTTGGGACTAGCCACACATCGTCAGAATCGATCCCAGAATCCTGGTGGATGATGCTGAGTGGAGAAAACAGATCCTATGCATGTTGTCTCACAAGAAACCAAAAAAACGCCTCAATCATGCTCAAACCCCGGGCTGCCCCCGTGGCTGTCTGAAACCGAAGCTGGCCAGTGCGCCTCTGTACTTTTGGGAGTGGAGCATCCATTGTGATGTGGAAGCACACCATGAAGCCCGAAGAAACAACAAATCAAAAACACCTGAAACCGAGACGAGAAAGCTGCGCCAAAAAGCCGTTTCAAGGCGAGACTAAACAAGATGAAAGGTGTGATTTTACTTGTTTTACTGTCTCAGCCATGTTTTTTGCAATGTCGGAAAAAGCGCTGGATCTCCATCATTGGTTTCTCCATCAATTGACCGTGACCATTCCTGCCTGTACCAAAAGCAGGAAGACTAGGATTCGGCTACGGCAAATCCAACCTCAAATAGCCGAGGCTTTGGAGCCATCCCAAGCTGCGAAAAAAACGAATGGGACCGTCTCGACTGGAGTATGACGCTGGAGCATCTGCTGCTGAATATTTGGGGAAGTGAAGTTGGAGTAATTTACCCTCTGGTAAACATACAAAAAGCGAACTGGAAATTCACCATGCTATTCATAGGCAAATCAAGTATAAATGGGCCATTCTCAATAGCAAATTGTAGCAAATTCCCAGAGGGTAACACTTTCCTATGGTGCCAAGGCCCATCTAGTTCGATGCACCTTCCACATCCCCAAAAAAACTATGGTGGGAACCCATTTCCAGAGCTATATGATGTTAGTTTACTGGAGGGTATATATATATATAGATAGATAGATACTGTAGAGGATGTTTCAATAAGATCGAAAGATTTGGATTCAATCGCAAAAACAAGTACGAGTATCTCCACCCCTTGGTTGTTCAGAGGATCAGGACAAGAAAACAGCAGAAAACCCGTTGATTACTAACCAAAAATCACATTTCCTGCATGTGTTCCCTTAAAACGCCTTCACATGCCTTCAACAAAATAAGAAATAGTAAAACTTGGAATGCAAGAGTGGTTGGTGATGCCAGCCCATCACAGCGATATCGGTGCATTGTTAGAATCATCCCCAGTTTGGACCAAAGATAACGTGTGAGACATATGATTGAGGAAACCAGCAGCTAGATTATGTATATATACATACATTATATACCTTACATTGCCTTACATAACCTTACATTGCCTTACATTTGCTTACATGACCTTACATGACCTTACATGACTTTACATGACCTTACATACCCTTACATTGCCTTACATTTCCTTACATGACCTTACATGACCTTACATGACCTTACATTGCCTTACATTTCCTTACATCACCTTACATGACCTTACATGACCTGAGATTACCTTACATTACCTTACACTACAATCCATTCCATGCCATGCCATTGCATTACATACATACATGTATAATATGTATACATGTATTTATATATATATATATATATACATTTTGTTTTATTTATGTGTTTATAAATTAAATATTGATTATATATGATGACATATGATACAGTATTACATGTATTTGTATCGTTCCAATCTTTCTGGGATTGCAATTTTTCTGGTTGCCTTGGTTGCCCACGGAGGATCCAAGGTTCCACAACTCACTTTGGATGACTTTGGTGTCTTGGCCATGGCGCCATCGCGTGTCCCGAAAGTCACGTTTCCGGCACGGTCAGTGTCTTTTATGGCGGTCCATCATTTTTCTCGAACACGTGGGGATTGTAATGAATCTAACCTTTGGGGAACCTCAAATCCTGGCAATTTTATGATATTTCCCAGTGAGATAGATTACGGTCCTCAAACCGTTGATTCTCTAGGACTCGATTGCAAAGTGACTTTACCGAGAGGTTCCTTGCTATGTCAAGGCTAGTGAGCCCGCATGAGTTTTTGCTAAAGACATCTTTTGCCCTTGTCTCCATGGCTTTCTATTCTATTCTGGCTCAAGCTGGAAGAATGCCATGGCCTTTGAGTTTCATGGAAGGAATTCACATTGCCCTCTGGTAATTTAACACTAGCTATTGAAAATCTCAAGTTTTGATAGTTAATCGTTTCTTTCATGAACTGTTTTTATCCATTGACCATAGCTACGTTAAATTACCAGCGGGGACAAGTTGAAGTTGACCATGCAAAAAAAAAACAAATGCGAGCTTTTGGCTCCAAAATAACACTTCAGCTTGGATGTTCATAGTAATAATAGCATCCTCAAAAGATAAACCAACCAATTTACCACTATTTTTTTGGTACACAAAATTCATGGAAATTATGTGTTCTATATTCTTGGGAGGTTCTATACTTGAAATGACATCAGCGCTGGAGAATCTATCTCCTGGGTTACAAGCCAGCAAACATAACTGGGGCCCCTTCCGGTAAGACATAGATTCCACCATCTATAGTAAAACAATGTAAAGTCACAAAGACAACAGAAATCACTCAGGCTGCCAAAGAAAATGGTATGCTCCCAAGGCCCAACTGGCAATTTGTTATAGGGTCAATGAGCATAACTACAACCATCAACTTTAGTGATTTTGTCACAAACATCAGAGACACCCACATCAAAAACCAAGATTGCTTATATTTTATATCCAATTATATGTGTATATATAATATACCCTCTGGAAATTTTACATAGCTATTGAAGATGGTCCATAGAAATAGTTAATTTACCTATTTATAGATGATTTTACAGTTTGCAAACTGTAACCGTTTACCAGATGGTATATTAATAACTACATTTAATGGGGATCTAATGGTGATTTAGTGGCAATAATAGTGATATGACCAACCCAAATGATGATGCTGTGGATGGAAACAAATCCTGCGCCAGTTGATCGATGATTCATCCCATTATTTGCATGGTTTCAACCACCCAAGGTTGTGCAGGATTTCTTCCATCCACAGTAGAAAGGGAGATCCACTATTATTATCCCAAGATTGGTTGGTTATCATAGTGATAATAAAAGTGATATCCACTATATTATTATTATCCCACTATGATCATTATTTACATATCCACTATTATTACCACTAACCAAAATAACCAACCAATAGTGGATATATTTTAATTATTTTATTATCCACTATTATTTAGATATCCACTATTATATAGAAATATTTCATAGGATATCATTATTATAACATATCCATTACCTCTATCCATTAGTCTGGGTAAATCAAAAAAAATACAAATCACTAACCTGAATAGTTCGGCCATTTGGGGATAATTTCCCTAACATTCACCATGATTCTAGGGTTCGGTCACAGTGAGGTCACTATCATTTACCTAGACACATGATCACAGGATTTCCACAAGATTCACCATGATTCCAGTTACCCTCTGGTAATTTAACATAGCTATTGAAAATCACCATGCTATTAATGGGAAAATCCACTATTAATGGTCATTTTCAATAGCTACGTTAAATTACCAGAGGGTAGTCCTATTGAATTATTGATATATCCCCAAGATTTCCACATCGAATCCGCCCGAATTCCAGCCTCTCTCCTGGGACCTGGATTGGATCCTCTAAAGAACCACCACCATAGTGATTCAGGGAGCCCAAGATACCCCAACATCTTACCAAAAAAAACATTCCCAAAATTGCAAATACAATAAACACACGACCAGGTGCGTTTTTTTAAGATAGCTATCAGACATCACAATTTCTGGTAGATGGTAAATCATTGAACTAAATGGGCATGTTCATAGCTATGTTAAATGGAGGGTAACCAGAGGCTAACTTTCCGACCTGCATTCCTAGAAGTGCAGGAGAGTAGAACTGATGATTTTTGGAGAACATGGATACCCGAATCATGGGTGGCAATGGAACCTTCCCAATTTGTAGATTATTCTGCAACAAAAAATGTGATTCTGACGCTGTAGAGCCGCAATTAATGTGATTTTCTGTTTCTTTCCTGTTGAAACGATTCTTATTGCCAGAATCAAGGCTGTACCTCGGTCCCTATTCATGGTTGGGTGGAGCAAAGACATACGCGTGTTCTGCACAGTAAAGAAGTATTTTTTAACCAAGCCCACGATTCTGATTCTCAACGCACTGTATCATATATATATATATACATAATATAACATATATATATATAAATATATATATATATCATAGTATATATATATATATATAATTTCTATACATCACTCTTAGACACCCCAATTATTGTACCCAGTCTTCCCTTCGTTTCGCACGACCGCCAAGCTGAGCAACTTCCATCTCTTGCTACACCTGCAACTGTCGTTGGGTGCGGTGACTTCATGTCCGACTCTTGGCCAAACATCAGCAAAACAAAGGCACACTTTCATCAGTACAAGACATAGAGATTCAGGTGATACTTACCATTGATGGTATACTCACCATGGTAGTATCACCATGACAACCTGGCTTGGTCATTTTTGCCACTCAGGTACTCTATGCTAATCTGATACAACAAAACACACTAGTAACCAGATGCTAATCCCCTCATTCCAATGTTCCAACAAGTACTGAGGCATCCAAAAACTGGTCAATTCACTTGTTGAACTGCTTGAACCATGTTGAACCGCTATAAATCTATGGTGGGTACAAGGTGGTGCCCCAGTTCGTTAGCCAAGGTGGTGTATAACCAATAGAAAAACTCAGGTTTACGGTTGAAATATCTTTATATATCTTTATAACGTCAGAATTCAAGACTGCTCTGCTGCAGAGACAGACCGCTAAATCCAGGTGGTACCCCAGTTTGGAATCATGACAAGTTGGTTTGCGAGTCCAACAACTGCTGGGTTTATGGCAGATATATCAAACTATTGAGTTATATAGATATAATCATATATATATATATATCAACCATCACACACACACATTCTACTGATAAAAGATTAATGGATGGTTAATGGTATTTCACTAACGGATGATTAAGGTTTGTTTCAACATACCTATATATCTCTAGGCACATTGCCCCATCCCCATCCTTTCTCACCTGCAAGACGCTGAACCTGGCGTTTGAGAATGTCTAGGAGTTCCATTATTTGATCAAGCCCCCATACGATTTATGAGTGAAATGGATGTTTGATGGATTTATTTGGTAAAGATTATGTAAAATCCTGATAATTTCATGGGATGTTCCACGTTTTAATCATTTTGGTGGATAAAATCCTGATCGTAATGATGGGAGTCGGTAAAATCCTCATAACAATGAAGCGACACAGGACACACTGAAAATGGTTCGTATATGATTTTCCATCTGCGATCACCATGGCAAATGGCGCCGAACATAATCAGGTGGAAACAAAGTGGGATCAAGAAACATCAGAACTGAGGTCTACCAGCCTGGCTATGTTTTAGATAAGGAACAGCAATACAACAGACAAAACTGAAAGGGCTATGAATCCCTTGCCTGACCATCATGGGCTTGGGTCGTCCAGTTGTGGCAGGCCTTCTGTTTCGGGGTGAAACCGAGCCCTTCAGCAGTAGCTTAAGTGGGCCTGTCCGAAAATGGTGCTAATACACCGCAAATGCTAGACTTTTAATAAGGAAAAACATGATTCACCACCAGATTTTGGAGGTACCGTATGCCCAAACAAACCCAAGGATCAGTGCCAAACCCTGATTGTTTTGGACCGGTGCCGGAAAACATCGCAGCCGATATTCGGGAGCCAAAAACAGCGCCTGTAACAGCTCTTCCTTAATGGAGGACATGGACTCCTGGGGCCGCTGGGCCGTTGATTTCACCAAAAAAACTATGGAATGATCCACTGGAAAAAAACATCACTGACAGTTACTGGTTGGTGGTTGACCTACCCCCCTGAAAAATGATGGAGTTCGTCAATGGGAAGGATGACATCCCATATAGAAAATGGAAAATAAAACATGTTTGAAACCACCAACCAGGTTATGTCTGAATATTCTTTGTTGACTTGGAGTATTCCCTGGGAATGGATTCCCGAAAAATCAGGTAGAAGTTCCCAAGTTCCCAAAACGGGGGATGAAACTTTCAAATCCAAACTTAGAATAATCTTAGAATGGAATATCCAAACTATATATATATACTGGTTCGTGGTTTCAACCTATCTGAAAAATATGAAAGTCAGATTGGATCATCATCCCAACTATTGGGGAAAATTAAAAAAAATCCAAACCACCAACCATATGTATATATATATATATCAGCACCGATGTCGGGCTCACGGCCTGAGCAGACGCAATGCTGTTCTGCAAACCTCAGATTCGTGGATAGCCTGAACAAAACAAGTACCCGGCCTGGTAATGACTAACATTAATGGGATTTAATGGGATTTAATGGGATTTATATAATGGGATTTAATGGGATTTAATGGGATTTATATAATGGGATTTAATGGGATTTAATGGGAATATCATGGATATGTGATATAAGTATATATGATACCCTCTGGTAATGACCAACATAGCTATTGAAAATGGCCATAGAAATAGTGGATTTTCCCATTAATAGCATGGTGATTTTCCATAGTTATGTTAAATTACCAGAGGGTACTGGTAGTGTGGTGAAAACAATGTCATAAACCATAGCTGATAAATGGGATGATATAGGGATTATATAGGGATTATGGGACGATTAATGGAATGATTAATGGGGTGAAAACAATGTCATGTTTAACACCCAAATGGGAATGGTAAACATACCACCTATTGATGGTGATTTGGGGGATGGTTCATTATTGCTTTACCCAATTTATATTTATATATATATTGTAATTATGCATGCATACATACATTAAGAAGAGGAAATAAGCTGATGCAATTCATACAGTGTGCAGGGCAGGAAAACATACATACATACATTCCATTTACAGCACAACATGAAGATGCACTTTTCAGCAGCATCAGAGTGCTGGCCACTACTGAAGTGTTTCCCAAATCAGCTGATGTACCTTTCGGCTAAAAAAAATCGTGGCATTTGTAAATCACATGGAAAATTATACAGTAGATTTACAGTTGATTTCATGGATTTCCAATTGCCATGCTTAATTATTGGAGAGTACATGTGCAGGAACTATTGTGATATTGGTTACACACCCACCTGATTGGTGGTTTCAACGTTGAACAGACGGGTGTCAAATCTGGCTTTGTCCAGTTGGGCAACCCTAAATCTCCATAAATATCCCATGGCTGATCATCATTTAACCGGTTTCTTGATGCTAGCAATTTTGGGTTCAATATGTCACATTTGTGCACTATGTTCCATGTTGGTGAGATATCCCATCAGCTATAATTATCATCATATCTCCATTGCTCATAGATGATGATAATTATAGTTGATATATTATAGAGATAAAGAATGGATAATCCACTAGTTATTTATCATATATTGATATACCATCATTGCTCATAGATGATTATTCATTCTTTACCACATATTTGGCAATTCTCCCTTCGATTCTTCAACAAAGCCCTTCGGATCCCCTGAGAGGCAACGGTGCTGCCATGAAGCAGCGGGACACTTCAGTGACTTCACTCTTCTCAGCACTCCTGGTGAACGAATCGCTCCAAAATCCCTGCGTCATGAACAGCATTCCGGTTGGTGGTTGACCTACCCCTCTGAAAAATATGAAAGTCAGTTGGGATGACTATTCCCAATATATGGAAAAAAAAGCATGTTCCAAACCACCAACCAGTATTATACTGGCTGGTGGGGATTCCCCGTTCTTGTATTCTCATCATCCCCAATATATGAAGGGTAGTATACTCCCCCAACTCATCATCAACCAGCGTTTTGAACACTGCACATTTCTGTGATAGTCTGGGAAGGGATCGCAGGTGCCTTGAAAAAAGCTGCTGGGTCAGTTCGAAACGCGAAATGCCCTGATTTTCCATTCGAATCATCGTTCTGGTTCTGGATGTGTCATCTCCATTCCAACATCTGACGAATCAATGAATATCAATCAATCATATCCAAACACATCTGGTTGGTCGTTGACTAACCATCTTGAAAAATATGAAAGTCAATGGGAAGGACTATCTCATATAGAAAATGGAAAATGAAAAATGTTCGAAACCACGAACCAGTTCTTGAATAATCTTCTTGAATAATTTTCTTGAATAGTCCTCAACATGCTTTCTCCCTTGTAGATATGTTATTTGGATTTGCAATCCCAAAAAATACCCTCTGGGAAATTAACATAGACCCTGGCAGTCATCGGGGTTGGAAGACTAGTTTCCATGAAAAAAATTGGTGATTTTCAGGGTCGAACTGTTAATTTACCAGGGGGTACATCCTATTCCCAGTCATATGGCCCCACTTCAAGATTCCGCACAACCAATGTTCAGAATCCCAGTCATCCATTCCCATGACACCCGGCCTGCGAAACGTTAAAAACGAACTGGAAAGATTCACCATGCTATCAATGGGTAAATCAACGACATTTCGACATTTCGACGATTGGCCATTTTTTTGAAGTTCGCAAACTGTTTCCACGTTTACCAGAGGGTATTCCATTCATACTCCGATTAGTGATCCCATTCATAATTCATAATCCATCATAATCCCATTCATATCCCACCATTGTCCAACTTCATGGTACTATAATGGGATTAGTGATTATTTATCATAAATAAACCATTAAGAATACCATTATGAATCCCAGAGTACCATCGATTATCACAATTTATCCCAGCATAAACATCTTAATCCCACGCGTTTTCTAACTGCCGAGTCCTTTCAGCTAAGGCAGACACACGGCCCAGCTCCACTTTGAGTTCCTTCAACTCCTCAAAAAGAAACTGCGCTCCGGTAGCCATAGTGGAAGCGAAGCCACATTTATTTTGCACCCTCCAACAAAAAATAATTGATTAGGGGGACAAAAAACATATATGAAAGCAGCCATAAATTGCGGACAATTGTGGCATATAGAATAAAACACATGTACATCCAATTTGTGAACAAAAACACTTTCAATTTCCGGCACTTCAAAAGCTTGAACTTTGGCACCTGGACCCGCAACATCCTCTAAGTCAACTTTGGATAAATCACCAAAACTCGCCCTGAAATCATCCGATACTCTAAAAACAACATAACACCCATATGAACATATATGTCCAATCTGGAATAAATCCTGCAGGGGATACATATATATATACATATTAGAATGATACAGTATGTCAGATGTCATCCTTTCCAGTCTCCCATCTGCTTCCCTCACCCTTTGGCCCGTTTTGGAACGCTCGCCTCACTGTCAACCTTGGCTGCCTGGCACATGATCCGTCAGCCAGCCAGATCTCTTCCCATCTGTTGTTGGTTAATACAAATATTGGACAAACCAATGGTATCAAAGATTCGTGAGTGACATCCTTATATGTGGATTAAATATATACAACCAATGATCACAGTTTTGCATGTTTGCATCTTTGCAGAAAAATTCTGTTGGTTAACTCCACGTGTTCATTGGTTAACTTCACCCACCATGTTTGATGGTTAGTCACGGTTTTCCGCACAGAAATGTATTTGGGTATGGGTCAATACCTATAGATACATTTTTAGTGGGATGAACATCCATTTACCAGCTATTTTGGGGTTCACCAGGGGTACAAGGTTTTGACCCATCCCCATTTGTGGTTTAAATAGCCACGCCTGGGTCTGCAGGATCAGTTCATGCAGTTGCTCCACACGGCCTGTGACCTGTGAGGTGGCCGAGTGGCGACTGAGAAATGTGCTATCACAATTGCATAGTATTGTGCTATACTACTATATATAGCTATATCAAACTATATATATATAGTGGTATAGTACTGGGTTATAGCAACATCAATTTATATAGAACTGTATATATATATGTATGTAATTATAGTGGCGTACTACTATAATGATAGCAATATTCAAGTACTAACTACTTATAAGTACTGGTTTGATTCAGATGTTGGCAACAATTAATGGTATCAAGCTATAGTTATAGCAATATTCCATTGGTTGTTCTACATTAGTTGGAGCAATATTATGTCATAGTACTAAGTTGCAATATGTGTGGTATTGTAGTTTGGTAAACATCTTGGGGGTTGTCGTATTGCCGTAGTAGTTTCGAGAATTTGGTACAATAGTATGAAGAAAAACAAATTGTAGCCAAACTGGAATAGTCGCATGCTATACATTTCATGTTTGGTGGGGATCTAATGGGGAATATACCAAACACAACAATTGAAACACGCAGTTGGGTCCTCTGGCCCTCCGGATTTGAGTTGCTTCATGATCACCCTGCCCCACACAGCATGATCCATAGATCGCTCATTAATTGTAAGGAATGCACATGTCTACTTATATATACAACTATATATTATCTATATATGATTATATATATATATTAAATATATATATATATATATCAAACTTATATACCTGAAGTATCTTGAACATATCTATATCAGCAACCATTCACCATCACACTTCTTTGATCAACCGTCTTCAAACCCTCCCACGGGGGAAAAAAATGGTGTGGAGCAACTAGAATATCCCTGGGCCGTGACAAGATTCCATAACAACTACAAGTTTATAATCATATATAATCAAAATCGCAACATTGTTTCTATATATATGTTTTATTATGGGTATATATATAATTGTCAACAGTATGTATGTATATGTGGAATTATGGCATTCCCCAAAATTGGACACCGACGCGGCCAGAATTCGGCTTGGACGCATTAGGGCGAAGGGAGCTCAATTTTGGCTGGTGGTTCATTCTTGGGCTTATAGCAGCCACCAAAAAAAGATAGAAAATACATGAAAAAACACCATAAATCACCATGATAATCGGAGTTTCTATCGTATTCTATACATGTTCTATACATTTTCTATATATGTTTCATTAGTTTCTATGCATTTTCTATTACTTTCTATATATTTTCTATATCCAGTTGTAGGTTGCGAGTTATCTCCTCCTGGCCGCGTCCACTCTAGACCTAGCCTCGGAGATCAGAGGGCTCTGAGCCGACTCCTGCGGTGAAGTCATAGGAAATCCCCAAGAAATACCCTCTGGTAGTGACTAACATAGCTATTGAAAATGGCCATTTATAGTGGATTTACCCATGAAAAATGGTGATTTTCCATAGTTATGTTGTTGGAAGACTAGTTTCCATGAAAAAAATAGGCTATTTTCAGGGTCCAACTGTTTATTTACCAGAGGGTAGATGGCGGATGTTTTGTTTCGATGGCGGATGTTTTTGAGCTGAGCAAGATGCAACTGTCGTGGTTCATGGTGCTTCAAGTCGGCATGGTGAATGATGCTTCAACAACTGAGCTGGTTGGTGGTTGAGCCAACCCCTCTGAAAAATATGAGTGAACGTCAGTTGGGATGATGAAATTCCCAATATATGGAACAAACAAAATTCATGTTCCAAACCACCAACCAGATTATAAAACATTGAACATGGATGACTGGTTGATGGTATACCTACCATATTGAAAAATATGAGTTCGTCAATGGGAAGGATTATCCCATATAGAAAATGGAAAATAAAAATCATATAAAATCACCCACCAACCAGTCATAATCACTGGCTTGTACCCCATGACTTTCTTTTCAAAGCTCAACCTTTGTCATTTCATATCAGTGACCAACATTTGGGTACCACCATTGCTTGAAAAGCTCCGGTAGCATTTTCCATGGAGAAAAGTCAGCATTTCGAAAAAATCATGAGCTTGTCACATGCGGATTATTTCCACGGTTGCCGCTCAAAGATGGACCCCATTTTCAGACACACCCATGATAAACGGGAAATTTTCGCAACCAACGAACCGATGAAGCATAAGAGGCTATGAACGAACCCTTAAGAGGATTCCAAGGGCTTTTTTGTTGCTTGCCATTACAGATTGAACATCTGGCATAACAAAAATCTATGATCAGACATACGTGGCCGTGGCCAGCTTTAGATGAACCATTTTGAGCTGCTTAGTATATATGCTTATGAATCTAAACCCTGGTACCCTGGTGGATAGAAATAAAATGGCGAGTGTCTAGTGACTAGTGGGCTACTGCAAGTAGCACAAATGTAATAACTATAGATGTTCATCTGCCCAACATATGGTACTATAGGTTTTGACCTACGCGAGGTTGAGCTGCGTGACACAGACAATCGATGAAAATCTGTATGCTATTAATCACTACATTTCTTGCTATCCAATCTATCCATGGTAGATGGCATCCATGAAACATCCAGTCTACTGATTCAATCGGAGGGAGTCCGTGGTAAACCCATCCTCCGCAAGCTGCGTGAAAGTCTGGATCTGCTGGTCACAGCCTGCAATGGAATCACTCTCCGTTTCACACTGCGAATCGCAGCACAAAAACTGGTGCAAACAACATCTCTTTCTTAAGTTATGCCTTTGAGACACACAAAAAGTTTGGGACATTGACAGTTGTGTATTGGTGTATTGGTTGTCTATCGTTTGCCAAAAAAGGTTGATCAGTTGTGTCTTGGTCGTCTCCATCCGCTGCTAATCTCGGTCAAACGGGACGATTGCGTCCAAGATGCGGGTCAAACGAACTTGAGCATCGTCTTTCCTGTCGAAATCATGCTTTTCCCTGTATACCATCAATAACTTCCATAAAAGGGGTGTTCATCCTCTATTCATCACTCAAGTAGGAAAAGGTTGTCTGCGCCTTTAGACTTCCAGACCCCTCCTGAGGTGTTTGAACACCTCAAAGCTACCGCCAAAATCACCTTCTCAGCAGGAGTTTGGAAGTCCAGGGTTCTTGATTGGAATTTGCGTTTTCCATGGTTTATATCCTCACATTTTGCTGGCTCAATCCTTATTCCTTCTTTCTTTCCGAATCGTCAAATGCACAATTTTTCCAACTTTTGGCGGCTGAACTTGTGACTGTTGCTTTATGTTGCTTTATATTTATGTGCCCTACATACTCATAATCTGGGAGGAAAATGAGAGGATACTCCGCCATACATCCAGCCTTGGAACAACCCATAGAAACCTAGCACGAATCAACTATAAATCCTCCTTGACATCTTCATGCTTTCAGGTGAAACAACCCGCTCTCCTATCAACCAGGGGCGTAGCGATTTCTCGCCTCCAGCGCTCCAAAGCTGCTAGCTGAGTTTCCAGGTGCCGGAGTCGCTCCTGCTGAGATATTCAACTGACATTTTGGGAGTTCTGGGCGGTAAATTATTGGCTAATTGGTGGTATACCTACCCCTCTGAAAAAAATATGAGTTCGTCAGTTGGGATGATGATTCTTCCCAAATATTCCCAATATATGGAAAAAAAAATGTTCCAAACCACCAACCAGAACTTGGCTTGGTCATATAGCACGATAAAGATGGTGACTTGATACCTCCAGCACACAAGGACAGTGGAAATGTGCCAGAATCGCCGCGCCGCATCAATGGCAACGGACAATTCCCACATGGCTAGTTCGGTGATGTCCCATCATAACATGAAAAAATATAAACGTTAGGTAAACCCCCCGGTTCACACACAGCGCAACCTATATATAAATGGTCCCATTCATGTGGTTCCCCCCTTTTGAACCTTTGGGGGTCTGTGTTTTTCATTTCCGTGGGATTGCTGGGGGCTTAGCCCCCAGCATCCTCAGTCGCTCCGGTTGCTCCTGCTTGCCATCTTCCGTAGATCCAAGTCTTGCAATTTCATCTGACAGGAATTGATGAAGAACAGAAGACTTCAGGAATCAGGAAAAACAAATAGTAACATAGCTATTGAAAATGGCCATAGAAATAGTTGATTTACCCATTGAAAATAGGGATTTTCTACCGTCATGTTAGTTTACCAGAGGGTATATATATATAATATACGAAATTATATCGATATAAGAGATGCATGGAGATGACCTCACGCGCATGCCATTCATGATGGGAAGAACCCCCCTTGGGCGCGGTGATGGGAAAGCTATCTGAGCAAACCCTCCGATTGTCTCGCTGCTTCATACACCTTTATGAATCGTTGATCAACTGATAAAGCCTTGTGAATTCGGGACCACCATTTGGTAGATGGTTTATCCGATTATCCATGATTATCCCATTTGTTTGCAGTGTTTCATAGTTACCAATATAGTATCCGATACCATTTGGACATATTTGGACTGGTTGATTCTTCATGATGCAAAGAAGGGACAACATCTTGACCAAAATTTCCCACCAATGGCCCCACTCAAAACACGCCACGGCAGCACCAAACAAAGTGAGAATCTCTTGGGGGAATTTGGATTGCTATGGTGTGTCCAACAACACGGATACCCCAAAAATGACAAGTCATTAAACAAACAGGAATTACAGTATCAACCTTGGAAAAGCCATGGGAACCGGGCTTTTCCCCTACATTTTCAGGTACGAAACCCATTTGAACCATCACCAAAGATCAGCACCCTCTGCCTCTCACAGATGATATGCTTCGTGCATCTCCTTTCACTGCAGCCTGCGCAGCCCACATGAACGTCTTGTTTCGCTTGACGCAGTTGCACATGTGCAATTCATTTTTTTTTTCAAAATGGTAAACGTCCCCAACAATTGAAATCAATAGAGCGTGAATGTGATACCCTAAATTAGGTATCACAAAGTGGTACAAGTCCAAAATGGATATCCCAAAATTCCCGCAGTGTACTACCCGCAATCACCCAAATGACACTGTCAGACATCCCAGCAAGCTTCACCCAATTGCAATGGATCAATCCCAGTTACATGGGATGATTTAGGACTCCTCTAACTAAACTTAACTTAGGCGTGTATATATATGTATATATATATATATAGAAAATGTATTTGTAAAATGTATATATATATATAGGATTATCATTATTATATTATAATATTGTATATTATTAGTATTATCACTTATAAATGCGGTAGCGTCACACTGAGGTGCGGTTCATATCTTTTCAGCCAGTTATAGCTTGAATTTCGGGCCATTGGGCCGTTGGCGCCTCCAGGCGTTCGATGCGACCCACCTGGCGCCATGGATAGCCATGGATATCCCCAATCGCTGGATGGTACCCTCTGGTAAACTAACAGTTTGCTATTGAACATGGCCATTTAGTTCGTGGATTTATCCATTAAAAATGCTGATTTTCCATAGTTTAACGTTTAAGGTTTACCATTTCGGGTCAATAAATCATGGAACATCCGAACACATCCGAACATCCAATGGATGATTTTGGATGATGTAACCAACCGGGTTGGGAACCTCCCATAGCGGACCCCACCGGGTTGGCTTTCAAGGGGCGCCTTGTCTTGTAGGACTTCCTCCAACATCTGTCCTTGCGTCGCCAAGGATCCGGAACGACCAGCATGGTATACCCCAATACTATCATGAAAAAATGGGGGTATACCATGCTGGTATATCATGATGTTGGGGTATACCATGAAATGTATATCATTCATATTTTTTCTCAGAATGTATATCATGAAAAATGTGAAAAATACTGTAACTGACTGAGAATATCTGAACATGACCTGTAAATCCGGACATGAGAGAATATGTGGTTTTTAATCAGGCTGGATTTGAGGGTACTTTCACACACACCTCATCAGTGGCATGAACAAATATGTACTATGATCATGAATGTTTTTTGAAGAGGAGCCTGGCTTCACAAGTGCATAGCTGTATCACACATTCGTTTAATAATCTGAAAAATCTACAGAAACCTCCCTTCTTTCAGCTTCAAACTATCGGCCGTTTCCCGTGGCGAATGTTGGTAGCATCAACACCATCTTGTCACAGTTATGGCCCGAAATACCAGGTGTTATAAGTAAGTTTTAATCCCTATGGAATTCTAACAAGTCATAACCAGCTATATATAGCCATTCATATAACATTAACCATTAGATACCATTTCAATCATATTAAAATCCAGTTACAACCAGTTACAAGCAGCTAAAAACTGGTATTTTTCAAGGGGCCCGATTTCAACTGCAGCCAGACCGCCGGTGACCCGTCGAGCCGGTCCTTCCCGGCGCTCTTGTTCCAAGTCCTCGAGCCGGGCGAAGTGCCGGGCAAAGTCCTGGTCCTCGTGGCCGGGCCCGGCCGTGCGCCGTGGAAGACAGCGTGGTTTTAGGCAACCAGTTGGGATTTAGTATGATTTAGTAGGATTCATTTGAGAACAAACATATGACAATAGATTGACTATAGATTGACTTTTTGGGGCATTGAGTAGGATTCAATTGAGAACAAAAACTTTGATCCGCTGGGATTTGGAATGGGATGGAATGTGGCGGACTTATAAAGGAACTTGCATGGAACTGCCAACATTGCTATGATAAACGAGGATCATTCACAGCAAAAGTGCCATTTTGCCGGCAATAGTGGGGAAATCAAAGGATGTGCGCAGAAGTTGGACTCTTGAAACTGGACGTTTGGAGGTTCGATCTTTCGATCATTGGGCTTCAACTGACAGAAATTGCATCCAAATACCATGGGTCATCATGCCGCAAAATCGCGGCGCAGTGGGGCATATGTTATAAATAAACGAAGACAACAATGCAAACGAGTTTGTCCAAACATAAGTTATTCTTCCGAAATCCCATGGTAAAACAAAGGCATTCATGTGTCCCCAATATCTAATTAGTTGATGTAAAACAGTGCCCCATCCATGCCCACCTCCACATATTTGGGGCAACCATTTAAATCGAACGACAACACGAGTGTCCAAAAACAGGGTATCTTTTATTGCGTGAAAAAGAACATAGGAGTAACAAAAAACATAGACTATGGTTTTAAAATTTTAAAACTTTGTCTTCCCCAAACGGAATAAAATTTCCAAAAGTTAGGGCCCAATTTCTGGATAAACACATCATCCAGTCCAAGTTGCGAGGCGTTCCAGCCTGGAAAGTTTGGCAGGCTGGGAGGGTCAAGGTAAAACCCATGGTTTTTACCCATGGATTTTTTCCCATTGACCCATCATTTTACCCGATTGTGGTGATTAAAACCATGCGCGCAAAAAAAAGTTAGTGACATGGGGTCACTTGGCTTTTTGTAGATATTGTGTCCTTGACCGACTAGTACGTTCCGTATATTGTCACGCCATGCTTGTCACTTGTGCTGTTGAGAGCCACCCATCTGAACATCTAAAAAACCTCTTTCAAACAAACAGCACTGTTGATGGGCAATACTCCTTATGGCTATACCAACACTTTCAAACCATGTTTGAAAATTCTTAAAATGGGGGATCCGGAAAACCATAGGTTTCAATGCTCAAATGGTCTATATAATGACTTTGACGATTTGGGGGTTGTTAGGGAACCTCCACATAGCCACCCGCACGCCTGGACTGCAAGCTGTGCACTTCCTTTGACATCCTCAGGGTGGCAGCCTCAGACGTCAGCCGCTGCCATAAAAAACTCATTGAGTTCAGCGGTGATAAGTTTGTTCAAGCAAATCATGAAGCATAATTGTCATTTAAGAATTATACTTTCCAATCATCTCCTTTCATCTCCAAGGCTCAATACCCTCCGGTACTCAAACATGGCAGGCTGGAAAATCCCCGAACTAAAAGGAGGTTTTTGTTCAATCATCGAACTAAATGGGACATTTTCTAATGGCCATGTTTGATTACCAGATGGTAATCAAGCATAGTCCTAGTGTCCGCACGTGCTTCAAAGTGACCTGTTCAATCACCAATTCGAGGTCACAAAAAAAAACAAAAGGGACGCTATGTATATACAATTGGACAGAAATCAAAACAATCAAACTAATCGGTTTGTTAAATCCCTATAGGCGTGATAATCATACATTGTTATTTCTATGCAATTCTAACTAATTATTCTAATTTGAGCAATCTAGTAACATACAGTACTAAGTCCATCTAAGTCCCGTAATTGAATTGAATTATGGGAACAACCAATCGAGATATTTATCCTGTAACAAAAAAAACGGTTTCCTGTCAATGGTCCCGTGGAAAACAATTCTATTGTGGATTGGTTTTGCTCGTTGCTGGTTCACTATAGGCCAAACCTCAAAGGCCCTAGAAAACATGCAAATTCTTGTGCCACCTTTTTTATTCAACCCACCCATTCTTGACAGAATAGCCACATATGTTCAAGCTGGATTCAATCATCATGAATTCCCTCGTTATTCAACGGCAATTTTGGAAACCAATCCCCACTCGTTTGGACCAAACAAAAGACCGCCGGTAAAGCAACATAGAAAGCCAGTGGTTTCCCCAAACAAATCATCTATAAATGGTGAGTTTCCAATATCTATCTTAATCTCTTGGAGAGGGTGTAGAGTATATCACTATGTTTTTTTTTCTGAAATTAGTGCAAAAATCCAGTGGTTTATCCTCATGTTGCGCGAGGTAACAGTGGTTTAATGTGGTTTAACATGGTTATTTTATGGTGATTTAACCAGCCAAGATGGGTGATTTCAACCAGCGAAATAGTGATATCATGCGGATATCCAAGATAGGGCCGTGCAAGCACGCGCTGCTGTACAACAGCCGACGGCACTTATCTTGTCTTACCTTGAATGGAGGTTTATGGCTGGGGAAATCATCGTACTAAATGGTGAGTTTTCCATTGCCACATTTGATGACCGGAATCAATACAGGGTTGGTTTAGCACTCCAATAACTGCTGGGTTGATGTCAGTTATACCGAACTGCGGCGGAAAACAAACAAACTGGTTGGTGGTTTCAACCCCTATGAAAAATATGAAAGTCAGTTGGGAGTATTCTTCCCAATATGATGGGAAAGTCATTCAAAATTCCATGGTTCCAGTCACCACCAACCAGCAAACATTTCTGGGGGGTACCACCCTGCAGCCATTTGGGAGTTCCATTCGCCTCGAATCCGTCCAAGCGCGGCTGGAGCATCGCTCGGGTGCTGGAGACCTGGCGCATACCCTATGGTAGGATGATCTACAAATGGTGGATTTTCAACATCTATCTGGGTCAGTTTACAGTAGGCTATCTATGTTTGTCTATGGGTATCTATGATTGTACTTCTGGGATTATATATATATATATTATGTATTATGCCTGATATTGTATTATATCTCCATGGCTATCTATTGTTATATGTTACAAATCAATTAAACAATATAATGGGCGCATAGTGGGGACCTTTCATGGGGAGATAGTAGGAATATCCTGGAATATAATGGGGAAATAGTCGGGTCATAATGGTGATATGAGGATATGGATATAGAATCAACAATATGATATGGGTTTGTCTGAACAAGGTGTATTACAGTACAACATTTGATGGCTGAATAGCCATTTTGAGGGCGCCGAAAATCCACCGTTTTCAGACACTCCCATATCTAAATGAGTCAATTATCCATAAAATATATTTGATACAACATAACAATGATTTTTAAGTATCATATTGGCTGATACCCCAAACATAATTTCCCGCATTCTTCGGTTGGCAGCATTCAAGAACCCCCAGCGCCCAATTTTGGATTGCTTCTGCTGGTTGGTTGCTGGGAATTTTCTTTGCAGGCTATAAAATCACTCCATAAAAAGACTTAAAGGGAGATAATGGAATCCCTTGAGCGATGGTTGATCAGGGTCCCAATGAAACTCCCCACAACCTTTCCTTTCGAATCGAAAGAATCCCTTCAAAAGCACCGCAGCCTCAAGATTTTCCAATCTCTCTACTAGCTTCTTGCGAACTTCCTCCTGAAAAGTCAAACAAAACTCCAGCTGAAGCTTGGATTTGATCATCCCTAATAGGGATCAAGACATCTTCGAAAAGCACGAAGAACTTCACAGCCAGAACCAGGAACAGAAAAAAGAACAGCACCGCTCATGTACGCCATTAAAGCATATTAAAGCAATTCTCTGGACATTCATGAATAGCAGGGATGGACTCGTCATGTTGTTCATGATTGACTGATGTAGGTATTACCCACAGTTGAGGATTGTCCATACTTTCTCCACATCGGAAAGTAACAAATCTGCGGTTGCAATTCCTCCTTCTGCGCTTTGCTTGATTGCATGGAGACACTTCCCTGCAGGCCACAAAAAACAAGCGCTTTTTGTCTTTTTTGCAGCCCGTCCCCAATGAGTTCACGCGCAAGATAAATGATACTCTAAATTTACATATAATATATATACCCTCTGGTTATTTAATGTAGCCATGGAAAATGGCCCAATAAAAAACTGTTGTTTGATGATTTACCTATTAAAAATAGTGATTCTCCATAGCTATGTTAAATAACCAGAGGGTATATGTAATGGTTTCAAAGAACACACATAAATACCTGAGAAAAAAAGCCTTTCAAAAGCAGAACATGAAAAGATAAACCACCTGAACTCTGGACGCCAACATGAAAAAAAACTCACTTGTGGCACATCACAGGCGGCACCCTTTGCATATGACAAATTGAACCAAATGTGGAGGTGTTTACTTGTACATCGGGACATATCGGGACCAAACTCGGTATCCGCAGTGCCTCAAGCCGGTCCAGTCTGCTTCTTAGATCCTGCAAGGACTTTGCCTCCAAAGTTTTCACAAACAGGTCAAAGTCACTGTAATTTTCGTGTCTGGAGCGTCAACAGAACCTCTTACAAGAACAACCCTCGAAAATCCACCAAGCACACTCTCACTAAATCATGAACACCATAAGTTGATATAACTTGTCCATGTTAATTTGGTTGAGAAGCTTTAAACAAATCAAATTCGCATGTTTCGACCAAAAGCCAGAAAAAGTGATCAGGTTCAAATGCATCTGTTGCCGCCTCGATGTTGTTTTGCTCTAGCTGCTTTGGTATGGCCTGCAACAGAAGCGTCACTGACAATTCGCACTGCTCTGGGTACTGTTGCTCTGGGGCTTTTGCAGCAGCCCAACAGCCAACAGGCACATCACTTGAGAACTTGCTTAGCGGTAGGGAAACAGGGAGATCATTTTTCTGCAGCTATGTGCAATGTACTATCTGCTGAAAAAAGAAGCTGCCTGTGCTTTAAACATGTAACAATCAAGCTTTGAACATTACAACAAAACAAAACGCACATATATAATCATATATATATATTATATCTGAATATACCTTCGCAGCAAGTTGCAATATTCTCATGGCGTGCCCTGATCGTGCCTCAAGCTGGTCCAATCTGTTGCTCAAATGCTGTAAGGACTTTGCCTCTACAACGATGACAAGTAGGACAATTCGATTGTGATCCATGTCTCCAGAACGCTAGACAACATTTTTCAGTCCGCGAGCCACTCTAATTTGGACAGCAAAGTGTTTCTTGCCTCGATGCTGCTTTGCTCCAATTGCTCTGGTACGGCCTGCAACAAATTGAAATCTGGATGGATCTGAATGGTTTATGATGGTATGACAAGCACGATGTCCAACATGCACATCACTGAAAAGCATGTTGTCCGTGCTGGCGTAACCTCACACTCATCAAAGAAAAACAATACAAAAAGAGCGAGTCACATCAATGTACCTTTTTCGATCCTTTTCAGTACCTTTGTATATTTTCACATTTTCCAACAAATTGCTCCTTTCTTTCGGGCCCTGATTGCCCTGATTGCCCTGATTGTGCCTCAAGCCGGTCCAGTCTGCTTCTTAGATCCTGCAAGGACTTTGCCTCTACAACGATGACAAGTAGGACAATTCGATTGTGATCCATGTCTCCAGAACGCTAGAGAACATTTTTCAGTCCGCGAGCTACTCTAATTTGGACAGCAAAGTGTTTCTTGCCTCGATGCTGCTTTGCTCCAATTGCTCTGGTACGGCCTGCAACAAATTGAAATCTGGATGGATCTGGATGGTTTATGATGGTATGACAAGCACGATGTCCAACATGTACATCACTGAAAAGCATGTTGTCCGTGCTGGCGTAACCTCACACTCACAAAAGAAAAATAATACAAAAAGAGCCAGTCACATCAATGTACCCTTTTCAATCCTTTTCAGTACCTTTGTATACCTGGGGCACCCCCAGGACACCTTTTCCTGTCCAGATGAGAAAAAGTAAACTATTGGAAAGTTGGACAGGAATTGTTGTCCGGGACGGCTTTTCATAAAGCGCTTTCAAACGATGACATTGTACGTAATTTTTGCGCAGCTTGAACGTAATTGAACGTAATTTGAACGCAATTCGAACGCAATGTGAACGTAATTTGAACGCAATTTAGCCAAAAGGACGTGAAAAACCGTTCGGCTATCGGAAAGGGTGTGAACTTTCGATCTTGGACGTGAAAACCGTCAAAAAATATGAAAAGACAACTTTTGTGGATCTGGACAAGAAAAGGTGTCCCAGGGGTGCCCCAGGCATTTACACGTTTTCCAACAAATTGCTCCTTTCTTTCGGGCCCTGATTGCCCTGATTGCCCTGATTGTGCCTCAAGCCGGTCCAGTCTGCTTCTTAGATCCTGCAAGGCTTTGCCTCCAAAGTTTTCACAAACAGGTCAAAGTGACTGCAATTTTCGTGTCTGGAGCGGCAACAAAACCTCTTACAAGAACAACCCTCGAAAATCCACCAAGCACACTCTCACTAAATCATGAACACCATAAATTGATATAACTTGTCCATGTTAATTTGGTTGAGAAGCTTTAAACAAATCAAATTCGCATGTTTCGACCAAAAGCCAGAAAAAGTGATCAAGTTCAAATGCATCTGTTGCCGCCTCGATGTTGCTTTGCTCTAGCTGCTTTGGTATGGCCTGCAACAGAAGCGTCACTGACATTTCGCACTGCTCTGGGTACTGTTGCTCTGGGGCTTTTGCAACAGCCCAACAGCCAACAGGCACATCACTTGAGAACTTGCTTAGCGGTAGGGAAACAGGGAGATCATTTTTCTGCAGCTATGTGCAATGTACTATCTGCTGAAAAAAGAAGCTGCCTGTGCTTTAAACATGTAACAATCAAGCTTTGAACATTACAACAAAACAAAACGCACATATATAATCATATATATATATATTATATATCTGAATATACCTTCGCAGCAAGTTGCAATATTCTCATGGCGTGCCCTGATCGTGCCTCAAGCTGGTCCAATCTGTTGCTCAAATGCTGCAAGGACTTTGCCTCTACAACGATGACAAGTAGGACAATTCGATTGTGATCCATGTCTCCAGAACGCTAGACAACATTTTTCAGTCCGCGAGCCACTCTAATTTGGACAGCAAAGTGTTTCTTGCCTCGATGCTGCTTTGCTCCAATTGCTCTGGTACGGCCTGCAACAAATTGAAATCTGGATGGATCTGGATGGTTTATGATGGTATGACAAGCACGATGTCCAACATGTACATCACTGAAAAGCATGTTGTCCGTGCTGGCGTAACCTCACACTCACAAAAGAAAAATAATACAAAAAGAGCCAGTCACATCACTGTACCCTTTTCAATCCTTTTCAGTACCTTTGTATATTTACACGTTTTCCAACAAATTGCTCCTTTCTTTCGGGCCCTGATTGCCCTGACTGCCCTGATTGTGCCTCAAGCCGGTCCAGTCTGCTTCTTAGATCCTGCAAGGACTTTGTCTCCAAAGTTTTCACAAACAGGTCAAAGTCACTGCAATTTTCGTGTCTGGAGCGGCAACAAAACCTCTTACAAGAACAACCCTCGAAAATCCACCAAGCACACTCTCACTAAATCATGAACACCATAAATTGATATAACTTGTCCATGTTAATTTGGTTGAGAAGCTTTAAACAAATCAAATTCGCATGTTTCGACCAAAAGCCAGAAAAAGTGATCAAGTTCAAATGCATCTGTTGCCGCCTCGATGTTGCTTTGCTCTAGCTGCTTTGGTATGGCCTGCAACAGAAGCGTCACTGACATTTCGCACTGCTCTGGGTACTGTTGATCTGGGGCTTTTGCAACAGCCCAACAGCCAACAGGCACATCACTTGAAGACTTGCTTAGCGGTAGGGAAACCAAGCTTGGAACATTACAACAAAACAAAACGCACATATAATCATATATATATATATATTATATCTGAATATACCTTCGCAGCAAGTTGCAATATTCTCATGGCGTGCCCTGATCGTGCCTCAAGCTGGTCCAATCTGTTGCTCAAATGCTGTAAGGACTTTGCCTCTACAACGATGACAAGTAGGACAATTCGATTGTGATCCATGTCTCCAGAACGCTAGACAACATTTTTCAGTCCGCGAGCCACTCTAATTTGGACAGCAAAGTGTTTCTTGCCTCGATGCTGCTTTGCTCCAATTGCTCGGGTAAGGCCTGCAACAAATTGAAATCTGGATGGATCTGGATGGTTTATGATGGTATGACAAGCACGATGTCCAACATGTACATCACTGAAAAGCATGTTGTTCACGCTGGCGTAACCTCACACTCATCAAAGAAAAAAAATACAAAAAGAGCCAGTCACATCAATGTATCTTTTTTGATCCTTTTCAGTACCTTTGTATATTTACACATTTTCCAATAAATTGCTCCTTTCTTTCGGGCCCTGATTGCCCTGATTGTGCCTCAAGCTGGTCCAGTCTGCTTCTTAGATCCTGCAAGGACTTTGCCTCCAAAGTTATCACAAAGAGGTCAAAGTCACTGCAATTTTCGTGTCTGGAGCGGCAACAAAACCCTCTTACAAGAACAACCCTCGAAAATCCACCAAGCACACTCTCACTAAATCATGAACACCATAAGTTGATATAACTTATCCATGTTAATTTGGTTGAGAAGCTTTAAACAAATCAAATTCGTATGTTTCGACCAAAAGCCAGAAAAAGTGATCAAGTTCAAATGCATCTGTTGCCGCCTCGATGTTGCTTTGCTCTAGCTGCTTTGGTATGGCCTGCAACAGAAGCGTCACTGACATTTCGCACTGCTCTGGGTACTGTTGCTCTGGGGCTTTTGCAACAGCCCAACAGCCAACAGGCACATCACTTGAGAACTTGCTTAGCGGTAGGGAAACAGGGAAATCATTTTTCTGCAGCTATGTGCCATGTACTATCTGCTGACAAAACAGCTGCCTGTGCTTTAAACATGTAACAATCAAGCTTTGAACATTACAACAAAACAAAACGCACATATATAATCATACCTAGGTCTTCATTCGGGCTGAAATTTCAGCCTGAGACAGAATTCTAGCCTGAATAGGGTTTCGGGCAGAAAAACAGCCTGCGGGCTGAAATCCATATTTTGGGGTTTTTAGCATATTTTGAAGTTCACTAGCTGCAGGCTCAATCAAGGTTTTAGGAACCTGCCATCTTCATGTGAAGTGCCTCCGGAGGAGGTGCCACCCACCCACTGCCTTGCCTGCACATCCTGTTGATCTGAAATCTTTGGTCATGGGGAGATGGCATTTGGATTTTTTCTGGTGCTATTGGAACTCATGATATTTTACTGCAGTAATTTTGGATCAGAGGTGGTAGAATTTCAGTTACTTTGCTGTTTGGTATCTTTACCCATGGACTATTTTCGCCTGGTGTCCGACAAAACAAAGGATGCGTTGAAGCATGAAGGCAGGGTTATTGCAACAAATCTTTCCCGAGAACATGGTTATAACTTAATTACTCGTTATTTACTAGTTGCCCATCTCTGTTCTCTTGTGCCAGGCCTATTGGACTTTCCCAAAATGTGGTGGACAGCAACCCAGGGAGCCCTTTTTAGCGGTAGTCCAGAAGTCTCTCGCCAAGTGAAACTTTCTGCATGATGCTTGTTACTTGCTCCGATCTGTCCAACTTCTTTTGGGGGTTAATTCAACTGAGGTTTGTGTTTCAGAGTATCGGGCCTCTATGATTCTTGAGAACTACCGCCTTGCTGGCATCGTTTTCTACTTGGCATCGGTGGCCAGGAAGTATGGCAAAAACATGCCCTGTATCTTGACCAATTATTGTCTATTCTAAAACACAAAATATCATCAAGTTCTTTTATTCTTTCTCATGCCGGAAGTTCAACACCCTAGCGGTCATGCCATAGCCTTTCATTGAGGCCACTGAGCTTCGGAGCTGCGATAAGATCACTGATGAGTGGCCTGAGTAGATTTCGTTGGGGCAGCCGTGCAGCTGACAGGGGGAACAAAGGGGTTTAAAAAAAGGTGGGCCTTCCTGCCCAAGACCAAGATTGGAATTAGATAAATTATGGTCAATTGTTCAAACGTGCACCGGCCCAACGCAGGTGATTACCAAATGGAATGCCTACAAGATGATTGTGATCATGAAGTGCCCCACGGCCCACTTGGTTTCAATGATACAACGGGTTGCACATGTCATGTCATGTCATGTCATCTCATCAACCTCCAAAAATAGTTAGACGCTGAATAGGGGTCAAACTTGAAAGAAATTCTCACAAGATTTTTTCTGAGCGTCCCCCCATTCAGTCATTGTGGCTTGACTGACTAGTGTTCCAAGTTTTCAACCTTGCCTGCCTTTGCGTCCAATGGCTGTGGCCCCGGACTTTGACAATGATGAGCCGATCCCGGGTACTTCGTTGGAAGGCCTAGGACACGCATGGGAGGCTGACGAATGCATTCGGGGCCATGCCCTGCAGCATGGTGGGTCTCTCTTGTCTTGGCCCACCCCAAAGCATGTTGGGGTCATCAACTTCCAATGTGCGTCCCACAATGCCAAAGTGTTGTCCATCCTTTTGGAGCTTTGGTGCCCTCAAGTCCGGTCTGTGAAGACAGTCAACATTGACCAGCTTAGGGCTGAGGTGGGGTTACCCAAAAAAAACATGTTGAATTTCAACCACCAAAGTTTTTAACGCAGTGAAAACAACAACAACATATTCAAAAATAATATATTATATTTATCCCCATGTATACCCCATGTATCTTATCTGTTTTGCTTTTATCATCTCTTTCCTAGGTGAGAAGCTTCCGTGCAAAGCTTTTCTTTCCAGAGGATGAAGTCAAGGTGAACTGTGATGCAATCTCCATCAGGAGCTTCGTGACATACTTGGGCCGACGTCACAACGGTTCCAAACGTCGAGACTTTTGATAGCACTAGCCATCACTAGTGGTGTTCTAGATTATTTGGGAAAGAATTTGCCAAACAAAATTGGCAGACACAATCAACTCCTTCCAGGGGATTGGGCATACTTGGAGGGTATGCACTTTGCTTCCAACATCTCTGCAGCCAGTGATCTAAGGATTTGCTGGTTGCGAACCTTTACAGCGACATCATCGACCTCTACTGGGCACCTTACACTGGTGCTAGGACCAGGAGCCAGGAATCAGTGGAGGAGCCAGGTTTGGATGGGTTAGATAACCACCAAGGTGAAGTTCCAGTGTTGGCTGATGACTACGGGGAATCCTCTTTGGCAGAAGCTCTGGGCATTCCTCAGGTGGCCCACCCTGTTGTACCGGTGCCGGACTCACAGATCCCGGCTGACTCTGCTGCTGGCCTCGACATGGAGTTTCCCGATCGACAGCCAGCGGAGGATGAGATCCCAGCCACCTTGCCTGATGATTCCCAGCTTCCAAAGTCGCCTGATGATTCCGCAAAGGCCAGTCCTCCCATCACACCCACAGAGCTGGAGATGACTCCCCAGGCTGCCAGTGTGATTGAAGTGCCAGAATCACCTCCTGTGGCTGCAGCGGCCCCAGTGACCCGGGAAGAGATGGCAAAGGCGTCAGTTGTTGTGTTGACACAGCCGCAGCAATCTCCTCACCCTGTGGTCGCCACGAATGGGTTGCCTACTTCCAGCAAGCATTCCCCAGAAGACTTACGTGCTTTGCAGGAGAAGATCGAATACCTCAAGCAACTTCTTGGGATTTTGTAGCATTTATTCCGTTTTTCCATTCAATTCCACATGGGTTTTCCTTCGGGATAGTTTACAAGCTAAAATGGTTTCATGAACCAACCAATCACCATCCAATAGCCGCAATAGCCGCTCAGGCAAAGACTGCAGCATGTGAATGTGAAGGGTGCTGCCAGGCCTTTTCACACCAGGGACCAGGTGACTGATGTGCAAGACACCCTCCAGTGTGATATGTCACCAATAGCCAAAGAGTGGCAGGCCAACCCGCCGGCTGTTCCACTTGACCCGTCTTCGCCGAAGAGGTTTGCCAGGCCAGCTCTTTCAGAGGAGACGATGGCTCTTGGTGGTGCCCCTTCGGCATCTTCCGTGGGTGCTGGTTCTGAGACACCCAAAGATGTTGATGAGGTGAAGCAGGTGATTCCCGATGAGGTGGCAGTTGTGGGGGGATCTTCTGACCAGCTGTCAAAGGAGCCACTTGTGGCTTGCGACAAAGGTGAGATTCAAACAGGTGATGACGGTGATGAAGATCTTTTCCATGCCACTGCTGAGCCAGTGACAAGGAAACAGCAGTTTGCTGAGCGAGATGCTTTGAAAAAGGAGATGAAGAAGACTGAGGAGCCTCACCCTGAAGAGGGTGTGCCTGACAAGAAAACGGCAAAGAAAAATGCACAGGCAAGCAAGAAAGCACAGGCCAAGGCCAAGGCCAAGGCCGAAGCAAAAAAAGCAGCTGAAAAGGCCAAGAAGGAAGCAGAGAAAGCAAAGAAGAAAGCAAAGAAAGAGGCAGAGAAAGCAAAGAAAGAAGCAGAGAAAGCAAAAAAGAAAGCAAAGAAGGCCGAAGGGAAGACCAGAGCAACCAAGAACGGTCAGAAGAAGCGCAAGCAACTGGAGGAGTCCCAGCCCAGTGCAGAGAACCATGAGAATGTTTCGGCTGTGCCTGAAAATCCGCCTGCCCCAAGCCCGGTGCCTGCTGAAGATGTTGTGATGGCTGATGGATCGGGTTCCTCGGCCCCTGCACTGAAAGTGCCTGCTGGTTCTGGCAGCTCTGCTGCCAGCAATGCTGCAGATGATGGGCTCGATGATGCCAAGGAGGATGAGAGGAAGACATTTGCCCGACGATTTCGGCCCTCGAGAAGCGATCCGGCTTCCCGCTTTGATTCTCTCAAGAACACCTTCAAGAAGCACTTGGCTGGCCGATTCAACAAGGAATCTACCATGGAGGCCCAGTGTTGTTTCTTTTCCCCTGTTTATTTCTCTGCTGCTTTTAACAACAGCCCCATTCCACCACATTACATGTCTTACTGGTACATGCCCTACTCCCTTCTGAGAGGTGGAGTTCTGGAACTATTGCATGAAGCAGCTCAAGAATGCTTCCAGCCCTGTGTCCAACTACGACTTCTTCTTTGAGACTTGCGTCCTGACATTTGAGGACTTGGACACCGTCAAACGTACTTGGCCAACATATGCAGTGTTTATTTTTTATTTGATTTATTTTTGGGGTCAGCTCAGACTCAGACCCTTGAAACCTCACCAACTACTGTAGATTTTGATTCCTGAGTTGTCACAAGTTGAGGTATGCTGAAGTGAGACTTCGAACCTACGACATGATGCCGTAGCTGTGGGTTTTGCCTGCTTAGTGAACACGTTCGGACCCTGGAATGTGGCAGGTGGCAAGTGCAACTTAAGGTAAACATGTTAACACTCTATGACTCTATGTGAAAGTCTGGAAAGATTTGGTTGGGATTGCTGACCCGGTTTTATGTGAATGGTCCTTTGGCACTGCACTGTAGCTGGGGAGTACGGCATACGGATGTGTTTGCAGGCACCAATCTTTATCTTAGAGAAATTTGGGTCACCAGAACCTAGCAGTTAGTGCCAGGCCAAACCTGCTGGGAGACTTGAAATGTGGGGAGAAAAAAGGATTTCACCAATCTTCGCCAAGCCTAACACCCTAAACCCAATTTTTCAATTTTGTCCATTCATCTCTCCTCCAGGTACCATGCCCTCCAAGTGCCGAAGCGGCTTGGGACCCTACATCAGGCATGGCTTGGTGACGGAAGATCCAAAACATGGCAAACCTGACATGTTTGGGCCGGTATTTGATCCATGACTGCCATGTCCATGTGATACACACCATGAAAACCAATGATTTTTTTGTAACAGCAACATTTGGGCTTTCAGAGAGCTGCTGGTGGGTTGAGATTCGGGATGAAAAGGGTGAAGACTGAAGCATTTCCTGATGCCCCACCTTTGCCAAAGAAGCTTGAACGTGTAACCCGACGACTTATATGGCTTGGTGCCCCAAAGGCAGCTAGGCTTTTTAACAACTGATGTTCAAACAACTGTGGGGTAATAATATCAATAGTTCTTTTATCACTTAGGTATTTGTCGTGACGGTCCTCCTGACGGGATTCCTTAGCTTTGTTGACATGAACCGGAATGACTACACCATCTTGGAGCTGTACGCAGGAGAGCAGCGACTTGTGAAACTGGCTAAGGGTCTTGGTATGAGTACGGCATCTATGGATCGAGATTACGATGATGGGGATAACAAAAAGAAGAATAATGCCATGGACCTGAACACCTCTGCGGGCTTTTTGTTTCTCACACTCAATGGCCGTACCCAACATCAGATATTTTCAATATTTTGCGAAATGTAAATTTCAATATTGTTGAAAACATGATGGTCTAGTCTAGAGGGTTCAGAAATGTTCAGAACATGGCCCCTTTCACCATCCACCCTATTGCACGTCGCTGGCAACCCCAGGTTAGCCTGCTGCATGGTGCTTGGCGCAAAGTGGGGGGAATTCCTGGTGCTGATGGGCATTTGCTGCAGCACGTTTGTGTCAATGTCACGGGGAAGTACATTCCGTAGTATATTCCTTCCACAAGGCTGTCCGGTATCCATAGCAGTGTACAGGGCCAACAAAGCACTTTGCAGGCAAGAGGTTCACAATTTTTTTTGGGAATAACCACAATACATCCTCTACTTGGGGTTTCATTGTTTTTTGGGCTACTTCCCTGCAGGACGGTTCTCTTACTATTCCTCATCGTAGCATGTGATGGAGTGCCGGTTGTGGAGAATCCCATTTCAACCCTGCTGAATGCCCAGAAGAGATTCCAAGAGTTTGTGGCAAAGCTTCAAGCCCGTGGTATTTGCACGCTGGCTAAGATTGAACATGTTTGCTTTCTTGAAGGTGGTTCAAATTATGAGGAACTTTGGGAATCATCCTTGCCCCCTAGGAGATGTCACTGGTCACCTTCAACTTTTAAAGTGCGGGGAAAGCATTCATTTTTCATGGAACTAACTCTATTCGTAATAAATAATCTATTCCACAGATTTCCCCATGATTTCCTCAGAATAGCCCACTGTCCTTGTAGTCACATTCTCATCTGCATCGTTGATCGCAACCTGAGGTCTCTACAGGCAAGCTCTATGGCTCAAACATTTTGGGCATCTTTGCTTGAAGAGGACGCTGCTTTGGAGTACATCCCCTGTCATTTCATATTTGGACCTTGGCCCCATTCAGAAAAAGAAGCACAAGTCCCTGGTGAAAACAGCAGTTCGATACCAAGATGGATCAGGTAAAAACAGGTACAAAGGTGCCGGTGCTGCCCTAAAGGGCACTCAGTTTCTAGTTCACACTCATTAGTATGTTGTTTCCCCGAGATTTCATGTTGTTTTTACACCTGGTCTTCCAAACGTTTGGATCTCGTAGCCTAGGGGTTTTTGGGGATGCGATTCATTGTGCCATCTGAGACTTTACCCTCCACGATTTGTCGGCAAGATCTTGGAATACAAAGAGGAGTTCCTGAAAAACATGCCAGTCCTTCCAGAGGAGGTGCTACTTCTTTGATTCTGCTGACCCACCCTGTTTGATTAATGTCCATCCCCATTAAAAAAACTTATCGCAGTATGGCTTGCCTTTCCAGGTGACACAAGATGGTCCTAGCCTCTTGGAACTACTAGAAGAGATGCCAACTGGTGATTGCTGGGATGACGCTGAGTTATGGCCAATTTATGAATACGTTAGGGGGTCGAAGCATTTGCGATTGCCTGATGCCTACAGGCCTTTACTTGTTTCATTGGAAAAATCCAGTTAAGCAGCCACAATGGCCAGCTGGTGTGTTCAACAATTCGTAATTTATGACATCAACACATGGCAGGGGCTTCAAAAAAAGAGGTGGCTGCTGGGTGGCAAAACCCCAAACTTGAAAAAAATGAAAATTCCAAAACAGTCAGTATGTAATTTTTTGGTGATTTTGGGAAAACCAATTCGGGCGTGAATTCCCGTGATTCGGGCGTGAATTCCCGTGATTCGGGCGTGAATTGTCGTGATCAGGGTTTGGGAAACCCCTCAAGAGGATTTTTGTCGAACCAAAAAAAACTTGATTTTTCGTTCGGTGGATCCCAGAAAAAAATCAAAACAGAGATTTTGTGGTCTTTGAAAACCCTGAACAAAAGAAATCCTGGGGCATTCTTGACTCTTTTGGGTTACCAAATAGTGCACTGAAATGGATAATCTTTTGGGGGAATTCAAAAAAATAAGGTGACCATAGGGGACCTGTTACATCATAGAAAGGGCCCATGCAATGAAGTCTTGGCTTAAGGGGATGAGCTTTTCTAGCAGGGCCTGGTCCAGCGGAACCCTGCTCCGGGGGTTGGACCTTCTTGAACAAGGGTCCTCTGCGGCCATGTCGTCCATGGTGGATCCTGACCCAAGAGCGCTGATGGAGGAACTTGCTAGGTTGGAGGTACCCTGGCCCAACCAGCCAACAGTGTGTAGCTTCAGGTTTGGGGAGAGGCTTAAAAGTTATAACTGGCTGTATGTCAAACATGTTCTGATGTATCTGTTACTAACCGTAGTTTTGTTCTTAAGATGTGGGCCTGCATCAAAAACAAATGGGAAAATCTTTGAAGTTATGTTGAAGGAACAAATCATGGCACTTATATATTATATTATATACAGTAGTATCATAAATACTGCATAATTCTATTCAGGATTCATTTTTAGAATTGTTGGTTTCACACCTTACAACATGCCGTGCCCACAAGGCACTGCACAAGTCGATTGTTGAACAACAAGATGCGGAGCCAGGACAAACAAGGGCTGAGGGAGGTGATAAATCAAACTCTGGACCAGAACAAGCGTTAACCCCAGTATCCCCCAAATGTCCCTATCAAAAACAAAAACTTTCAGAATGTTGTTCATTTTTTGAATAGATGTCGTTTTCATAGACTGGGCAACAAGTTGTTCACTCTTTGTTTTGTAGACCCTTCCTTGCCTCATTCCTCTCTGCAGGACATATGCCAGCTCCTCCAGCACCTCCTGCAGATGTGCCGCCGGCGGCTGCGGATGGAGCTGGGGGGATGTTGGCCGACACTCAGCCGGGTTCCCCACCGGAGGCACATGTCAAACCACATGAAAATAGACCTGTTGGACCTGAGAAGGAAGCTACACCACCACTTGTACAAGTACCAGATGAGACGATTCCCATGACTCCAGTTCAAACCATGTATAGCCCTGAAAGCCCCCCTCGGGAGACACGTGTGGATGACGATGGTCTCCAGAAACGAAAGGCTATGGCTATTCCCCTTGATGAGGATGAGAATGGTAAGTATGAAATCTTTGTTCCGGTGGCTATGCCACCCGAAGCATTGACTGATAGAGCCATCTACATGCGCCTGAACCGGGTCTTCAAGAAGAGAAAGGATGGGAATTATCTACTTGATGATTACTGGAACAACGCTTGGGCTGATATCGATGGTGGTGGTCGGGACTCCGTGAAAGCCCTATTTGAGAAAGTCGGTTACCAAAAAGACAGGGTTCGACAAAAAATGTGTTTTTTTTACAACAATTATGTTTTAACATCCGAAGGGTTGTAGAACCAGCCTATGTTTGATACTGCGTTGCTGAAATGATGTTTGGCCAAAATGATCACCAATACCATCATGTTTACAACAATCTTTAGTTGGGGGGGCCATTATTTCCACAACCCTTTACCTCTACTGTCCTGAGATTACAAGATGTGTACTTTCCTAGGTTTCCTCTAGTAAGCCTTGCTTTCATCCCGGCCCTGCAGGACAAGTTCGTCAAGCGATGCAAGGCCATTTCCGAGAAGGTGCAAGAGGAAATCAGTGAGGTCGAAGCGGAATGGCTAACGGTTTCTGATATGGAAAAGTTGGAGTTTTCAGTCGCTCAGTGAAATTTTAGAAGCTACCTTGATGTTTTCCTTCTACACCACATAGTCAAGGTGAACACAGCTGGTCACTTGAAAGTTTAAACACAAATGTGTCCCGGACTTTCCAATTGCCCAGGTCCAAGATCAAGGGTGTTATTCGCTATTGCGAGAGTCGCCCACAGTTGCAGAGGCAAGGTTTCCTCCAATGATATCAAGTGATGAATCGATATATAACTCTTTCTAGATCAGCTGTAAATTGTGGACTTGAGCGGTTGCCCCCTGAAGGATGAGCAAATATGGAGAAGGTATGATGTATTGGACTGAAATCAGAAGCCGTGGGGCCCTGCGGTGCTTCAGCTTGACAAAACAACATAGTTCAGTTTACTTTCTTTTGCACATGTTGCCACACTTGACTTTGATCTGGTATTTAGCAATCCCTCTCTGGTCTCTGGGTTGGGCATCCAAATTTCACACGCTAAGGAACACCAAGCGACACATCAGTCAGGACATCATGGAATGGGAGGAGGAAAACCCAGATGGTGAAGTTCCTGATGCCCCCAAATTGGATTGGGGATTCATGGCGGGCAATGGCCAAGATGGTGATGCTCCAGCGGTACCAGGCTATTTAGTTTTAAAGGGTTTGAATCATATGCCCAAACCAATCTAATTATCTCATCCCATCTCATCCCATAAACCCACCCGACATCTGGTCTCCTTTGCCAGGTCTGGTGAAGGATGAGCACGTGGGTGAGGAGTACACGCAGCCTGTGGCAGTCGAGTCCGAGGACGTGAAGCGGGAGATGGACAAGTTGCAGTTCCCCCAAATTGAAGGGGACTTGGCCCCCTCAGCGTTGGTCCCCAAAGCATGCCAGAGTTTGCAGAAACAAGTTGCCAAGCTGGATTCCTTGTTAGAGAGTGCCAAAGCTGTTGATCGTCTTACCCCGCTGCAATCCCGGAGACTTGTCATCAACTGATATCAAATGGGGACCAAAATCTTGGGTCAAACTGAATGATTTGGGAGATTGAAGTGTTTATATTTTGGGGAGTATGATGTTAACATTTTATACTCAGTATCCTTTAGTATCCTCTAGTATCCCTTAGTATCCCTTATAATTTTAGCATCCTTGAATATTCCTTAGTCTCATAGTCACAACCACCTTGAAGAAAACCCGTAAGACCATGTCTACTTCATGAAATAAATTTTCCCTTTGGTCATGAAAAACGGGCTACGCGTTATGAAGACATGTAAATCAATAAATCAAGATAGGCGAACACACGCATTTAGGATGGATCTCTCCCAATCATTAGGAAAAGGTCGCCCCTTAATCCTTAAGGATGAAAGACAAGGTGGAGCTTGCCATTACTAAGCTGACCGAATTTGATGAAGAGCTCATGGACCAGCATGGGGAAGGGATCCTTGATGGCTATACCCGTGCGCCCCTTGACTAATCTTTTTGAGCCACCGGATTTTTAAACCAGAAAAATGAACATGGGGATGCTTTTGGATGGGCTTGACAATGGGTGAGGGGCAAGGGGCAGTGTGTGACTTCCCATGTTCTTAGATCCCATTTTTTGGAACACCGTCACCTAGCACTTATGCATTCACACCAGCTTCCGCATTGGGACTATTCCAGCTATAGTGCCATAAAAACAATAATGTATTAGAGTATAGCATCCTACTGCATTGTACCAGATACTATTGGTATAGGAGTTACATTGGATATTTCCCCTTAAATTGTGGGGTCTTTAGTTGTATAGTTATGTAAATAATTACAATCTGTGTACTGCTACATCCATTATTGGAACACATATATAAGATTCCTTCTGGAACATGTGGAGGTTTTGCCCCATACGGACAGCCAAGAAAGTGAAGCATTTCAGTTTTTGGCTATTCCAAACCCTTGCCACTCGAGGTTGCAAAAAAAAATTGCTGATACACTGGATGGAGCCCGGAAGAAGCTTGGGCCTTGTGACTACCTTTGTTTGAATTCTTGGGATTATGGATGTGGTTTTTGGTCATCCTGTAAATTGAGGTTGGTGGAGTCCATGGGCCTCTATCACTTTGCTAAGTTGGAAACTGAGTTTCTTCCGATATCAAATTGACAGGCATCCCAACAATTTCCCTTTGCATCCCCTTGCCTGCTCCAGGACCAGGATGCCGAATGAGAAGGAAGCCAAGAATAAGCCTGGCGGTGGTGGGGGTGCGGCCAAGAAGGCCAAAGCAAAGCCTAAGCATGCGCCAAAGGCTGCTCCTAAGGTTGCCCCGAAAGCTGCCCCTAAGGCTGCTGCATAGCCATGATGATGAGTGAGCCCCAATTTTTTTGAGTCTCCACAGCAAAGGATTCAAAACTCATAGTTTTGGGGATTGAAAACATACAAAAATCTATGTTTCTGCTTGGTTCAGTAAGGGGCACGGCCATGGCTGCCCGATTTGAACAAGTGGGCGAGGGATCCCCGCTGACTGCTGGGCGTACTTTATCGTATCAGTTGGATTTCCAACTCCAATCCATCTTTATTGGGGATGCTTCTGCACAACGCAGGATGCAGCGCAAGTGACATTGCTTTTGAGCTCGTTGGAAAAAATGTTATCTCATTACTTCCCAGCAAACAAATCGATGACCTTCTACCGGCTAGTTCATGCCAGGGGAAGCCTTTAAAAAAGTCCCTGATGAGTTCATTACCAATCTGGCTGATCAATTGGGTGACGGCGTCCGGGTCTCAACTATAGTTCTCACCTCTTTTGTAATCACCCTGGTTCAGATCCCGTGCCCGCCTGAGGCCACAGCAGCTTCTGCACAGAAGTCTTGGCACTCCCTGGACCAGGGCAAATGTCAAGATTATAACAATGCTTCACGCGTTATCCATGAGAGAATGGAGAAACTTGGGTACTCACTTCCTATCCCGATTCATGAGACTGAACATCACAGTGAGCTGCCGGATACTCATAGACTCACCACTTTCCATATCCTACCAGAAGATTGGGTCAAGTACTGGATGGTGGAGTGTCCCGAACTCCTATGTGGTTGGAATGGAGGCCCCAAGGAAAATGTCACTGCATTTTGGCGTGCTTTTCAATCACACCATCCTTCTCATGAAGTTTTCTCCAAACATGCAGGGAGGCTGGATCAAGTTGTACCACTGCTTCTTCATGGTGATGAAGGAAGGGCTGTCAAAAGGACAAACTACTTGGTTCTGTCAATAGAATCCCCACTTGGCTCCTTGGATGACCCCACGGTGAGATGCACATGCTGTAACGATTTGCGCAAACGTTCTGGTTTACCAACATATGGCACTGATGCGGATGTTCTTGACCCTGAAGTTTTGGCTATGTGCCGCAGGCAAACAACAAATTTCAAAGGCCATAGCTATCTATCCCACTTTTTACTATTTGGAATGGGTGGCTGGATCTACAAGCGCCATCCGCACATTGTGGATACGTTGTTAACTGAAACAATGACGAGCTTGAACAAACTTTTTACAGAGGGAGTGTCCACTGCGAATGGCACCTTTTATGCTGCCATTATTGGCATCAAAGGTGATCTGGATTTTCACAAGAAGGTCATGTGTTTAACAAGGAGCTACTCCAACATTGGGACCAAAGTGGACAAAGAGCTGTGCCATCTATGCAAAGCAGGGGCCACAAATGTTCCTTTTGAGGACTACAGAGATTCACCGACATGGGAACAGACTTTGCATCTTGAAAGACCATGGTCAGTGAATGACCCTCCAGTGCTAGCAAACCTGCATTTTGATGAAAATTGCCCGGAAGAAATGCTGCAACCGGATCTGTTCCACATAACCAAATTGGGTGTGGGAAGAGACATCGTCGGTGGGATCCTTATTCTACTACTACGTCTTAAATTTTTTGACTACCCTGAAAGCACTGTGAACATAGATGATCGTTTTAGCCGGGCTCACTCCTACTTCGTCTTGTGGTGCATGAGTCAGGGTAAGAGTCCTGGCCTCCGGAGTTTCAGCAAGAGCTTTTTCAACATGAAGTCGCTCATCTCAGCTCCCTGGGCGTCGAGCAAAGGCTCAGATACCATATTGTTGTTGCAGTGGCTGAGGCACACTTTGAAACTCAATATCGAAACACCTGCTGTGGAAGGGTATGAAACATTACTGAAACAAATGCTGCAAGTTTGTGAAGCTTCCTTATCTTTACGGATGGTGCATCATCACAGGCTTTGGCTTGAGAGACCCTGTGCAAAGATGCTGTACGTTCACATTATGACCATTCTTCGTGGCTATGCTGTTCTTGGGAAGGCATCAATCAGGTTACACATTCGGGCCTTCATTCAGAAACCAAAGCATCATGGGCTACATCACATTGGACACTTCTTGAAACGTGAATTGGAAAAGGGATCTTCGCTGATATTGAGTCCCCAAAGCAAGTCCTGCGAAATGAATGAAGATTTTCTTGGACGAATCAGTCGTCTGAGTCGACGTGTTGGATTTCGCAAGTGTGACCTCCGTGTTTGTCACCGTTATTTCATGAAAATACAGGTTCTTCTAAAGAGAAGAATGGGCAGAAAAAATCGTAAGGTTTGGGCTAAACGATAGGGAAGATGTGAACTAGTGCATGGGCCCCATTATGTTTCTCAAATTGTTCTTACATTATGATAAAAAAACATACTCTATGTATCTAACACAACCTGGATACACAACCTTTGTTGCCCATCCCTTTGCCCAGCTATGGGTCTCTGGCCTTCTTTTCTGGGCCATCTTGATCCGCACTTGCGATGACCAGCGCATGGCAGGCACAAAGGTGCAAGGTGGTTTGGGAGTGATCTGGGAAATTGGTTGTTTTTGATATTTTGTTACTTCGCTGATTACAAGACATTCTCATAAGATAGCACCACTATAGTGAAGATATTGTGCCTGATTTGGAATACAACAATGATGGTGTAAAATGATTTTAACTTATTTAATTTGGGTATATTTCATTAGTATAACCTATAATATGTCCATTTACCCAAAAATCATCAAAACTGATTCGGGCAGAAAATTTGCCTGCGGGCTGAAAATCTTGCCCGGGCAGGAATTTTAGCCTTAACAGCTTCGGGCTGAAAAAACAGCCTGGGCGAGGATGCAGGTGTATATATATATTATATCTGAATATACCTTCGCAGCAAGTTGCAATATTCTCATGGCGTGCCCTGATCGTGCCTCAAGCTGGTCCAATCTGTTGCTCAAATGCTGTAAGGACTTTGCCTCTACAACGATGACAAGTAGGACAATTCGATTGTGATCCAAGTCTCCAGAACGATCAGAACGCTAGACAACATTTTTCAGACTTCCGCGAGCCACTCTAATTTGGACAGCAAAGTGTTTCTTGCCTCGATGCTGCTTTGCTCCAATTGCTCGGGTAAGGCCTGCAACAAATTGAAATCTGGATGGATCTGGATGGTTTATGATGGTATGACAAGCACGATGTCCAACATGTACATCACTGAAAAGCATGTTGTCCACGCTGGCGTAACCTCACACTCATCAAAGAAAAAAATACAAAAAGAGCGAGTCACATCAATGTACCTTTCTCGATCCTTTTCAGTACCTTTTCAAGAATATTTTCACATTTTCCAACAAATTGCTCCTTTCTTTCGGGCCCTAATTGCCCTGACTGCCCTGATTGTGCCTCAAGCCGGTCCAGTCTGCTTCTTAGATCCTGCAAGGACTTTGCCTCCAAAGTTATCACAAAGAGGTCAAAGTCACTGCAATTTTCGTGTCTGGAGCGGCAACAAAACCTCTTACAAGAACAACCCTCGAAAATCCACCAAGCACACTCTCACTAAATCATGAACACCATAAGTTGATATAACTTGTCCATGTTAATTTGGTTGAGAAGCTTTAAACAAATCAAATTCGTATGTTTCGACCAAAAGCCAGAAAAAGTGATCAAGTTCAAATGCATCTGTTGCCGCCTCGATGTTGCTTTGCTCTAGCTGCTTTGGTATGGCCTGCAACAGAAGCGTCACTGACATTTCGCACTGCTCTGGGTACTGTTGCTCTGGGGCTTTTGCAACAGCCCAACAGCCAACAGGCACATCACTTGTCAGTGGTGAGCGGTGGGAAAACCCAAGAGATCCTGAGATTCCAACAGAAGTCCCCATACAGCGCCAACTTAAAATCACATCAAGTACACTGCCCCGAAGAAGTTGCTATGGGTTTGTCTCGGGATACCGGGATATCTCAAAATGGGGAACATGATTCGACATGATTAAACAGGGATCATCAGGGATCCTTGGTTTTGAGACACACCTGACACGCCATATTCTCTTCGCGCTGTGATCTTGCCGTCTTGCCTCAATTGCCTCAAACCTTTCCAGTCGATGCTGGGACTTCACCTGCAAGGACAAAGCCAACTGTTGCTGAAATGATTCGACCTTCGTGAACGCGACTTGGGCAACGACCTGTTCAAGGTAATCTAGGCCAATCTAGGGATTTCA